TAAACCTTTCAAGTGCTCGGACCTATGCACCTTTCTGTTCTCTCACCTTCCTTCCCAACGTGACTTGCGTTAACTGAAAACCAGTGTCAGAGTGTGCTTCGCTCAGCCGTCCCACTCGGGTGCTGAGTGTGATCCCCGTCACAGGGGCGCCGATCTTGCATGGGAAAGCAACCACCCCAACGCACCACCGCTCACTGGACTCTCACAGGAAGGCACCGACACCCTCACAGAATCAACTGCCACACCGGCCGCCGGGCCAAAAAACGGTTCTTGAAGAATACTTCAGACTCCAACTTTCAGATCTCAGTTTTCTTTTCATGTCTTCCAATGTTATCAGGTTTCAGTTTTCGGATCGGCTAAGTATTCACATGCCTGCGCTGCTAAGTATTCACAGGCCGGATGAATTCATCATGCACAACCCCCCCCCTCCCTACCCCCAGGCCTCCGTTGCTATCCCACCCGCTACTCGGGAAACAGAAGGAAATCGCACTCAACACACTTGTGTGTTGGTGCCTTTCCTTCTGTTTCTCCTAGCTATTGCTAGCTACCCGGGCGGTTTAAGACGAATGTCCCGCTCGCCTTCTACTTTCGTTTAACTAAGTGGGCCTCGTAACTACCCTATTTTTCTTTCTTGCCCTCTTAGTCTGCTCTTGTTTCGTTGCTTTCTCTGTCTTTCTAAGGCTTTTTAGGTGTCTACTAGTTTTTCGTTGCGCCAACAATTTGGCGCTTTTTGTACAAATGTTCCCCTGGGAGTTAGGACGCTACTGGAGGCCCCTGGCCTTACTACTACTTTGACCGCGCCGAAAACGGCTTTGTGTGTGTGTCCACCCCTGGGCAAAAGGTTTTCGTCCACTGGTTCAACGGTAGGGGGTGTCTTGAAAAAAGCGCCGAAGCCGGCGACTTGTGTGTGTCCACCCCTGGACAAAGGGTTTCCTTCGACCACTCCAATCAGGCAGGGGCAGGCACGGGGCTCACGGGTCTGTTCCTGGCGTGAGCCAACGAAGCTCCAGGTTCAGACTAGGATATCGAAAGAGGACGCTCTTTCGACGTACCTGCAACCTGAACTTTTGACCACGCTGTCTAATCTGCTTGGTTTGTTTCCATGGTTTTTCATGATACCCTCCCCTAAACCATTTCTTCCCCAGCATTTGCGCCGCGGATTTGCTTGCTGCCGCCTTCGTGACAACAATGTTAAACCTTTCAAGTGCTCGGACCTATGCACCTTTCTGTTCTCTCACCTTCCTTCCCAACGTGACTTGCGTTAACTGAAAACCAGTGTCAGAGTGTGGGTATAGTGTAGAGGCTCTAGTTCGGCATTGGAGGACGGAACGATGGATCCGGTGCATGTCTGAAACAAACATCCTCGTCGACGTTCCATGTCCCTAGGGCTCCTGTCCCACCTCCTGAAAAAGTGGTTGGGGTGGGTGCCAGGGGGGTCTCACCACCTTCTGAGGATATGGTTGGAGCCCTAGGGTGTTTTCATGATGTCAGGAGGCTTCGGAGGACCCCTTTGATCTTGGCTGCCAGGTTGCTGGCTCAGTGGATTCGGCAGGAGGGAGGTCTTCTGGGTGATTTACCGATCATGGCACCTTGGAGCTTCCTGACATGAGTCCATTCTGTTCATGTTTTCTGGTCAACTGGTCGGTGCCCGTACCTGAGAAGGTACTTAGATCCCTACAACATATTACAAGATGATGGAAGATGAAAGCTCGCTGGGCTCTCGCAATGGGAGCCTTGCATTCATTATGCACATCTTGCTGTCGCGCATGTCCGAGCACATGGACCCTGTTCGGGCACTTGCTCCCCCGTTTCGGGGGAGAAGGTCCGACCGGAGGGCCCGGTACGCTCGGATTCTTAAGGTATTACATGTACCGTCCTTGACTTTCCGGGTAGGATTTCTCCCCTCAGAAGGACACATCGTGACATTCCGATACTCCCTCCAACCTTCGGCCCCATAGGCCCCTCGCCCCCCTCGTCAGTTTCAGAGCTCTGAGGCCGTGGCATGGCTTGGAGAGGGCCACCAGTTGGGTGTGGTCCATGCTCGTTGCGGCGACGATCGATGGTCCGCCGGCCGAGAATGCACCGCGCCGGGATCGACCGGTCCGCGGACCGCCACTGCGAGGGGGGAGGATTTCCGGCGGGCCCCGTCTGCAGCGACGGGACAAAAGGGCGGTTAAGGTCGGTGGTTTGATAGGGGTTGAATTGGTTTGATTCATTCTTTATCCTCTTTGTTGTTTTTCTGTGAAGGGAGTTTATGGTTTGGGTAGGGAGACCTCCTGATGTATCACTTCACACCCAATGTGAGTCCGGGTTGAAAAGTGGTCTGTCCCGTGTTAAAATCATACATGATACAAACAAAACCAGTGGATACATGTCGATACCAGCCGTGCTCCAGCCGTGCTCCAGCCGTGCTCCGGTGTCATTGGTGCTTACGTTTGGCGCGTGAAGCGCACCGTCCTGAGGATTCAATTTGCAGATTATGCCACCTGGCTCCCAGCCCGGCGCTCAACACCGTCCGACGATCAACGCGATTTGTGAGGTCTTGCCCAGCCACACATGGAAGAACCGGATCAATAACCCCGAAAAACATGAAAAGTACAGTAACATAGAAAAGCAAAAAAAACAAAAAACAAGTACATAGGGGTACTGGGGAGTCTTCGTTCATCAACCACCTCGTTGAAATTTCTTGGCTCTTCAAATTTGTGTTCGAAGTCTTAAAGGGTGCTTTTTTAAGGGTCCATACTTTCACCATTCTCAAACACCACATTGTTTGTTTAAAAGATGAGGATAGATGTGTGTTGCTTTATTGTGTTTTGTTGTCGTGGGTTTATTCCCATATAATTCCAGTTTCATCATCAAGACCCCCACGAACTGTCAGACGAGCCCTAGGCCTGTAGGTGTCCTGTGTGGGAAGTTTCTCGCCTCCAAACTCCAAACCGAGGTCATGTCTTCGAATAACGTTTGGAATGTTCGATTACTTTCCCTAGGGATCCAAGTACCTTCTCAGAAGGTGATTGAAGACACTATGTAGGCTTGGAGAGTCCAAGTACCTTCTGAGAAGGTACTTGGATCCCTAGGGTTTGGAAGAAAACATACACTCCTGCCACACATGGCATGCTTCCATGGATACGCGATGCTTCTAATGAGACTTTGAACAGCATGTTTCTGCACAAGGCCCCAAAAATATACTTCAGTAGCAACAACCAGAATGACACATCTAAGACCCATGGCATGCCAACAAAGCACATTTGACAAAGAAATTTGCCTCAACTGAAACCAACCCCCGAAATTCATGTTGGCAAAACTTGGGGAAGGCCTGTTGGAAAAACCAACAAATCCAATGACCGATTCGCCGCAACTCACAGGGTCCCACGGTCCCACTCACAACCTTGGTTTTCGCCGTAGACCGACCTTTTCCGTTTGTTCTTTGGGAGGCTTTCAAAAGGTTCTGTGAGTTGTTTGGGATATTTTTGACGAAGTGCCATGCATACCCGTCCATATATGTTCAGGCCGTTGGTGACCCTTCAAAAAAAACAAGTATTGTACAAGCACGTTCCTTTGGGAGTGATTTTAATGAATTTCATGTTCTCTCATCCGTTCGTTGGTCTGTAGATGGCTCAAGACGAAATTTAGAAAAGACATATCCGAACTTTCAACCATTTTCAACCCAAAACGACAACAACAAGATCTTCCAGAAACAGGATCTGGCCACCCAGGGTGGCCAACGGGGTCATGTTTTCCACAAAGACTGTTTGCCAACCTCGATGCAAATCGTGAATCAAAGGTGCGCGTATGATCACTGACCATTTACTCGATCCTTTTTTGACACCACATGTCGACGGAGCGTCTCAAATCAAAGGACACCATCCCAAAAGGATTCCCGCGATCCGAATTCTGAGGTGGGATTGCTGCGGGAGCTTTCGTCCAAGGCCGCAGTGTATCTGGTATATGTGGATCACGGGGGGGCGACTTATACATCATAAAGGAACTATGTGGATTGAAATGGAAGGTTTGTGTGTCCAAGGAACCAACGCTACATATTTATGATTGGAGGACACATCTCTTTGACTTTGATCACTCCTAGATCTATGAGGACCTGCCAGTTGTCACCAAGTTCTTTTGACATGGGTTGGATATTCTGCAAAAGATTTGAGTGTGTGTTCTTTTTTCTCTAGTTTGACAACTAAGCAGCAAGACAGATTGATCACAGCCAGGGAGCGCCCTCCCCGTTGGCAGGTGGAGCTGCAATGCATGTATTGCTTATTGAGCCGTGCAAACGGCAGTTTTGAAGATGGATCTTGGGTATGCACCAGTTGCAGGAAAGCAGCTGATGTGAAAAAAATGTACTTTCGCTGCTTTTGGGCTGTCTTCATCATGCCTTCATGTCTTTTTCCTTTCGGCCAGGACCGGTTTTTTGGGGGTAAAGAGTGAAGTTTCCAGCTGTCGAAGTGAATCGTGAAGAGACAGGTTCGGATCAGGTTGGCATATAGGCTTGCTCGCCGACCAAAGAACCAAAGCTGAACCCAGAGAGAAGGGTGGAGGATGCTTTTCCTGAAGACATTTGGGACCATGCCCATTCGCCACTGGGCGTATCAATCTCGCGCAACTGCACTGTTTATATTACTTTGATGGATAATATCACCCAAGGTGCAACAATGTTTGGGGGAAAAAACATCGAAGAGCCAGACATCCAAAATCGCTGTGAGCTCGCCGCTGCGCGCCTTTGAAGTGTCCGACGAGTGTTCACTAGAGCTGGCAAGGTCTTGTAGTTCACCTGGGTCCGTTCACGTCTGATACTCTGCACCCAACAGAAATTGAGTCAAACTGCGCTTCCACTCGGCCGTTTGCCGGGGGGGGCACAAGAGCCAATAGATACCACTAGATGCCAATAGCAATGGGAAGTGTTCAAACAGCTTTGCTGGAAGTGTATGCAAGTCATTCTGTTATTGTAGCCTTTTGACCTAACTCCATCTGTGATTCGGCCTTCCTCACTCCGAGCAATGTCCTTGGCCACATCACTACTCGAGTGGCTCGTCTTTTTCTGCTAAGGGGTCAACAGCTCAATGAGCTTCCATCTACAATGCAACGCAATATTTTTCTTTTTTAACACCAGCACAACAGTTCACTAATTGCTAGTATGTTAAATTTGGAGTCATTGTTCCGACTACCATCGCTACCATGTCTTTTTCACCACTTTCACCTACCCATTCAACTGGTGCAACAACATTTGGAAAGGCAGAGAGAAGGAACAACCACACACACAGATATACACATGACCTTCGTATCGTACCCCACCAACTAAGGAAACACGACTTTACCACTTGGGCGGATCTTCGTGCTCGCTTTCGGGCCGACTCACCGTTAGTCGCTGGAGATCTTGGCAGCAGCTGCCTCACTTACCAGCAGCTGCCTGGTAAGCCAAGCAAGCTAAGTTAGTGGCCCTCAAAGCGATTTGTTTACCCTATTATACCAACTCTCTATATAAGTTCCTCATCAAGTTCCTTAATGCCTTGGACCTCTTTCGACCGTACCACTTACTTTCATACCCTAGCCTTCCAAGACCATTTAAGATGGTTGATCTGGTTTTGTAGCGTAAAATCCTTAGTAAAACAATGGTTGTTCGAGAAGAACGGCGCCTTTTTTTTCAAAACACAATGGTGGGCCCGATCTATCCTACGGATAGACAACAAGGCTCACTCCTCATCTTTTCACCCTAGATTCACATGGAACCTGACCCTAGGGATCCAGTTGTGCCTTCTCAGAAGGTACTTGGACCCTCCAAACCTACATAACAACTCTCTCCAATCACCTTCTGAGAATGTACTTGGATCCCTAGGGTGACAATGGACCTTTGGACTGACTGGTGCTTAGTAGGGAATGAGGGAATGGATCCAATAGAATCTCTATCGGGGGCTCATTCCCTTATTCCCTACTAAGCACCAGTCAGCAATGGACCTTTGGAATACGAGTCTTTCCTGTACAGCCCCGGGGTTTTCAGGTTTCAATCTGCTTAATCTCGGCACCAAGGCGTCGGTGCCGAGACATGTCCCGGATCTCTTCAGGTTCCTTACGTGGGTCGATGAAGTCCTACGCCCCAGCTTCACCTCGGCCAAGCTGTGCCCCTCCGAGCGGATCGCATCCTTGCTGCCCAATGGACCCGAGGCAGGAATCGAGGATGCTGAACAAATAGCCAGACCATCCACGGGACTGGAAGAGCTACTTGCATTAGGGTCATTTAAATGGGTAGTAAGTGAATGTATGTACGTATTGCATACATTAGATGGTCTGGGATAGACCCCCCCGGGTCACTAATACCTATAGATCTTCCAACTGTGCAACAGTGATGCCTTTTCATCTATCAAACCAGCCAAGTTCGTTCGTTAGGCAGACCTGGCTTGGCCTCGCCTCAGCTCCGATCGCAGTGCTCGACCATCTCCCAACATCTCAACTCAGCAGGCCCGAGGGCCTTTCACTCGGCCGAACCACCACGCCGAAGCAGTCAGGCTGCGATGCTGTTCTTGGGCACGGCCTTGTGTGGACTTTGCTTGGGACCACTGGATCCGCAGCTCACGCGCTCGGAACCTCGCTGGGCTGGTAGTGGCGGGGTGGAGGAAGGGGGAGAAGCGGTGGGAAGCCGACATCAACAGGGAGAAGTGGAGAGGAAGCCGTTTCGAGGTTCCGGAAAGCTGAAGTGCAAAGATGAACATTGAGAGGAAGCCAGCATGGAAAAAACTCGATTCATGTCGAATCTGGAATCTGGATTCCAAAAAGAAACACACTCTCACAAAGATGGAGTGTAATGACTGTACCTCTTGACTTCATATTCAGGGTGTTGATAAGTCATGATAAGTCGTTTTTTTTCAATATTCCTCACATTAAGTGCCTCCAAGTTGGACCGACCCGTTTCCTTGATCCACCGTGGTGGGGTCCTTCTTACGCTCCATGGACCAGTCCGTGGGGTGATGAAGAGTTGTCCAACCAAGCTTCTCCATGCAGCTTCTGTATATATATACCTATAGACTTATAGAGCCTCCTCGTGACCTCTATTACTATTTTGGACCAGCTACTACCCAATGTATGGTCTATTCCATTCTATTCCTATCAAAACAAAGGTCAAATGGGCTCTAGGTGTATATATATATATATATATTACAATCTTTGTCATTTGGGGCATGGTGAACTCGTTCCTTGGCCAACGACCCTCCCGGGCCTACATGGCGTACGAAAGACCAGAATTGGCTCAATACGCATTTTGCAATACCCTAGACTTCCAACCACCATTGTTGGAAAGGGTTCACCGGGCAACCACCAACGCCCGGCACGCTTTAGACTGGTCCAAAGGAGCTGGACTTTGCTTTGCAAGACCTTCCTGCTAGTGCACTGGTGTGCCTCGTCAGACTGCATGTGCTCCCACTGCATGTGCTCCCACTGCATGTGGTATGACAAAGAGGAGTTTTTGCAAAGAAGGGAATGATCAAGAACGAATCAAACCGTTCTTCGCACCTGAACCCTTGCTGATGATAAAGATGTGTGTTCCTTCATGTCAAAATGATATGTAATATACCAGGACACCCGGACCAGGGTCTTCTATTGATAGCCCCTGAATTGTTGAGGGGTGTCCATGTCTACCAGCCAACTCCAGTGGGTATAGAGATACTATTAGAGAACCTCTACGTTCGGTTGTGTCCAACCAATGCAGCATGACCCCACATCGCGCATGGGCCTCCCCTGAACAGGCTCGAACTGGAGCACCGAACTACGGCACCGAACCCCCTCCCCAACCGCTGCGAACGGCATGGATCATCCTCGGCATGAAGCACCATGACCCTCGGGCCCTCCAGCGCCCTCGGGCTCTCCGCGCAGGTTGGGGGACTTGAGCTCCGTGGCCCTGGCCCTGGCGGAGTTGGCCGCCCAGGAGTTGCAGCTGGAGCTCTTTCGGCTCCATCGTGGGGGCCGCTTCGAGTTCTGTTCCTTCGGCTGAAGAAACCGCCGAACCGCAAAAGTGATGTGTTGATCGCCCCCAAAAAGGGACGAGAAGAGAAGACCCCCGCAGCATGTGACCCTGATACCCAGCCCCGCGAGACTGGAAGCGGTGTTGGCTGCGGTGTGAAGCTCGGTGTGGATAGACCTTCCCTCTTCGCTCCGAAACAAAAAAGAATTCCGAACGTTGGGGGGGCTGGTCGTCCCCTGGCGTCGGTCGTTTGCTTCGGAACCAGGGCCCGTCTTCCACACGGGTCGCCCCTCTAAGCCCTGCCACATACGTGTTGGTCTTCCTCGGAAGGCGACCAGTTTGGTCTTCCAGTTTAGTTGCACTTCCGGTTCAGACCTGCACCTTCAGGCCCAGATGAATTCCTAAATCAAACACTCCAATCCAAAAGGTTATATAGTCTTAAGTCTTCTCATCTACCAGCACCCTCTAGATCCCTCAAACAGGTGTTGGTGCCATTGAAGTCATCGTAAGGACCTCAACTTGAGCTGAATGGAATAGTGGAATCCCATCATCCTGGATGCCTCATCAAACCTACTCTGTCACCCGCAGGCTCGCCGTGCTCCGCGACAGCTGAACATCCCACGCAGCCGGACACCGCGCCCCAGACAACCCTCGCTGTTCCGTGCTTGAAGGCGCAGAGTCACGAGGAGATTGGGTTTCAAAACCTCCACCCATGATAGGTTGAAATCCCATGTTCTCGAATCTGTTTGTTGTCAAGTGCGTTGAAAGATGTTTTTTGAGTTTTTCAACATGTTTTTTGTTCCCGCCAACGCAGGAGATCGTTTTGGCTTTGCACACCAGTGGAACGACCCGGCGACCAAAGTTGGTGCCACTGTCCCACGGCACTTTGTGCAGCGGAGCCTTGTGTATTGCATCCACCTTGAAGATACAGCAGGAGGATGATGGCTGGTTGGAATGTTTTGTTTTTCCTACAATGTGGGTTGGAATGTTTTGAATCATATACATGTTTCCTCATCAGGTTCTCCAAGTTGAAATCATGTTCATTCATTCATGTCACAGGTTGCTTATTAGATTGTATTAGTATTGATTATTATTTGATAATTCACATGCATGTTTGTAATGTCATGTAATATCTTGGCTTAGAGGTGCAATGTTACAATGAGTCAATGACCCTTGATGCTCAGCGGTCTATTTTGATCGAAGAAATCTATCCTGCGAGGATGTTGTGATGAATTGCCTTCCTCTTTTTCATATTCACGGTCTTGCGGTCAATGTCCTTGTCCCTGCAATTGCAGGGGCCATGTCTGTTTGTTTATCTGGCCCCTTTGATGCTGCCGCAGTACTGAAAAGGCTGAATACTGAGCCTCAGATCACCCTCTACTCAGCAGTTCCCACTCTTCATCAGCTCATCTTTACAGCCAAGAGTGACAATTTCTTGGGCAAGTTGGCAACACTTTTGAGCGCTTTGAGCCATTTTGTTATGATTTTTGAGGAATGAATGAGGAAATAGATGGTTAGTAGATGTTAGTAGTGATGATTTTGTGGAATGAATGAGATAGTTATGTATTCACTGTAATGATTTTGAACAATGAATGAGGTACCAGATGGTTAGTAGTTATGATTTTAAAAAATGAATGAGGTTATATGTGGTAGTCTGTTGTGATATTTTTTGTGAATAATTTGTTGAGTTTTCATACTGCTATAATTTGAGTTTAGAAAACTTCTTTGAAGTAACGTTTTTAACATTTTTGTCCCTCCCCCCAAAAAAGAACACAATCTCACCTCCCCCCACGGTCTACGTACTCTTCAAATCTCTGAACATCCATCACAGCCTACCAGCACCCTCCGACAGGTCACCAATTGAGACCTGTTAGGGTCCAACAACCCTCAACTAACAGCCTGTTGGAGGGTGCTGGTATACATGTTTGTCTTTCCAGCTGAACCCGTGCTTTCAGGAAAGCGACTTGGAGGACTCCTACCCATCTTTACGTCTCATCCGCAGTTGTTCCGCCCATCTCCCCAGCGCCCTGGCGCGGTCCCTGGCCTTGGCGCTGGACGTGGAAGTGCTGCCGACCTACGCCATGACCGAGTCCATGCCCATCGCGTCGCCCGCGCCGCACGGAGGGATGCGCGGTGGTGCCCGGCCCCGCTTCCACGGCACGCTGGGCTGGGCAGCAGGACCCGAAGTGAGGCTCCTCACGGACCCCCTCACGGACCTCCTCACTGCGGATGATGTGGGACCTATGGCCACGAGGACTTCGGAGGCAGCGACCACGACGAGCCGGACCTTGAAGCCGTTGGAGGAAGGACTCGAAGGCGAGATCTGCGTGCGCGGTGCCTGCGTGACCCGTGGCTACGAGCTAAGGCGCGACGAAGAGGATCCGAACAGGGACGCCTTCGTGGAGGGCGCCTGGTTTTTGCGGAGCAGGTGATGTTCTTTGTAATAGTTCTCTTCCAAGAGTTTCAAAGGGGTGCCGAACTTGGAGGTTAGGGGTGCCCCTGTCACATCCACGGCCACTGGATGGGACGAGCCACGCCCAACTCCATGTGACTCCTGGATTATATAGTTAAATCATGCTGAATCCCTGGCACCAGGGGAATATCTTTCTTTTGTCCTGGTTCCTGGACAGCCAAGGTTGGTTCAGAACGGGGGACCTGGCCAAAGTCTGCAAGGAGGGCTTGATCTTGTCGGGACGCAACAAGGAGATCATCAACAAGTCGGGTGAGAAGTTTGCGCCACTGCAGATTGAAGAGGTCTATTTACAACATCCTCTCATCAAGGACAGAAATCATGTCATGGTGAAGGGGCAATCGTGTGATTTCTGGATCAGCTCTGCACTGTCAGGGAAGAGCTTCTAATTCTGCATGCGGGATGTTTGTGTTGTAAGTTGTTTTCACGTTCTTTTCACCCGTGGTGAAAAGTATGTTCTTTTGCATCGATGTTCATTCAGTGAGTTCGGAAGCCACACCCAAACTCACTAACACCAAGCCCTAGGGGGTGGCTTTTAGGCACCCATTCGCACCATGATGGTGTCCTAGTGTGAAGCTAGGACTGCGTAGCTTTTGCTGCAACGTGTGAGAAGAGGGGTGAGGCTATTGGATTGGCGATCGAGACGGGGGACCGGAGTGAAGAAGACTTGCAGCAGTGCAATCTCGATGCTTTGAGGATGTTTCCGGACGTGATTGTGAGGGATGGTATTGGTCAACCAAGACTAGATTCTACCAGGGCCTTCAAGGGGTGGTTAATGAACACACCTTAACGGCTAAGGGGCTATAAATAGACACCCCTTGGAGGGTCCTGGTAGATCTTGCAACTGTGGAAAACATGTTTGCCTCTTCATCGTCCTCAAACCTCGCACCGTTCGTTCGGCATGTTGCATCGTTGGACTCGAAAACGGAGATGACAAAAAGTCCAGGGCTTGTCCTTCCTTTTTGGGGCTTGCCCTGATAATCTGAATATGAGTTCTCTCATGTTGTGAGGGTCAAAGGGTGGTATTTGAAGACAATTTCCATAGCCTTTCGAGCCAGTTTCATAGTCTAAAATCCTCAGTAAAAACAAGTTGTTCAGGGTTCAGACCTAAATGAAATCAATGGCTTCCGCCATTTTCCGCCACCAGAAGCCTTTTTCGGCCTTTTTATACCAACACAACAAGCAGTTTTGGTGTCGATTATTGTTACTTCTGCGTTGATTTTTGTCACTTCTGCGTCATTTTGGCGTCATGTTTTTATCCCTACAGGTCAATGGCCTCGTTTTACTGGAGTCTGTCATACAAAAACACTATTGAAGGAAGTAGAAGACCAAGTTTTACTGAATCTTTGAACTTGCTGCATTTTTCTGCGTCATGTTTTCTGGTGAGACGGAAAAACCGGACATCGTTTCAGGGTCCAGGTATATTTGTATACCTATACATGGTACCAAACTTGGGCCGCAAACACCTCGCCCTCCACCAGAAAACGACGATCACTCGCTCCAAGAGCTCCAACCTTGCTAGGTTTGGTCGTCGCACCCAAGAGCTACGCCTCGTGGCGTTGCCCGACTGCGTCGTTTGGATGACACGCTTGCTGCGGACCGCGACGGGGAAAATTATCCATGTTCATTGTTGATGTTTTGTGCAATTTTTTGGCCTGAATTTGAACCTCAGCCCATGAGATTTATCCACGTGATCTGGCTGAGAATGGGTCAATCCACCCAAAAAACCCTGTACAGACCCCAGGTCCCAGTACAACCGGGTATCATAAAGGAATTCAGACACGCTTCAAGACATAAAGTATAAAGTAACAGTTGACTTGAGACCTAGGAGAGCCCCCAGCGACGCGGCTCCGGGCGCCTTCCACTTCACGCTCCGTCTGGCCCAGCGCTTCGAGCGTTTCTCGCAGCGTGTGGACGTTGCGGCGGGTGCCGCCGGCATTGGTGAGGTGCTGCGCACGGTGCGCGACGTGGTGACTTGCTTTTGCGGATCAGGTGCTTGTGTTGTTTTTCCTCCAACTGGGTAAATCCTCTGGCATGGGACATAGTTATTTGTCATGCTTGTCCCGGCTTTCTGAAATCAGCCAAGTCCAAGGTGATGGAGCTTGTCCGGTGTGACTTTGAAGATGATCAGCCTCTGATGGATGTGGGCATTGATTCTCTGAGTGCCACGACGTTGATCAACAGATTGGAGATGAAGCTGGACATCAATCTGGCAGGAGATGGAAGATGCTGGAATATGCTGGGATCCCTTCAGTTGAGCCCCCTTAAGAACTGGTGTCTCCCTGACTTATACATGATTCAAGCCAGCCACGTATAGAATAATGTAAGATTCATAGACGCATCATGAAGCATCAGCACGTCTGTGGGTCTCATTGCATTGATTCCTATACATACAGAAACATATGTTGCAGTGCTTGAACGATTGGCAGTCGTACGAAACAACCCAAGTAGATTGTAAATGGATGTATCAACGCATTTTAGGCTCGTATTATACACAGTCACAATCATACACGCACCTTTTGATCCGTCCACACATGAATATCCCTGCAGGAGATGATGGTGCAGTGTCCCTCTTGGACAAGTATCCTTCTTTGCAGAAGCTAGCTGCAGCTGCTTTCCTGGCCATGCAAAAGAAGGACATTGACACTGCTTCAGCTAGGTCTACTCATAGACCAAGAATGCCATATTTTGGCCTCGGCCGACGAACAAGTCTGAAGCAATTCGTGGTCGACGCTCGGGATCCGAATTCGTTGCTCTTTGCAGCTCAACATGGTCACGCAGAACAGATCCGAAGGTCTTGCGAAGGAGTTCTTTCATCCATGTCGCCAGATGAAGAAGTGGACAAGAATGGCCTTACGGCCTTACACTATGCTGCTGGTAAGGGCGACTTGGAAATCGTGGGACTACTTTTGGAGTTGAAAGCTGGAGTGGACACCAGGAATAAGGACGGGGCTCCCAGGGCTTTGGGCCGACCATGTGAGGTTTCCGTGATGCTGCTGAACCATGGTCCAGTATAGGAAGCAAACACATTCACCAACCAAACTCCCTCTCCAGAAATACCTCGAGCGACTCGACATCACCTGCGGTTCTGATCGGTTCTCAGGACCTCCGCACCCCGTTGATGTGGGCAGCGCGCAACGGTCATGTGGACGTGTGTGAGGAGTTGGTCCGGTGCCAAGCTCCTGAGCTGAGTCGTTCCTTCCACGAATCACTCGTACTGAAAGGAAGGGATGCCGGTCCCGAATGGAAGGAAGGGAAGTGGTGGGGTGCCCCACCATCACGTCGCGTCGCATCCATAGGACGAAGGAAGCAGCTTGGAGCGCTTGGAGCGCTCCATCTCTTCAAGTAGACAAGACGGACCTCCGGCCTCCGATCTCAGGAAAACGAAACACGGGGTTGCGACGGTCACCTGAAAGGTGGGGATCCATGGGAGGAAGAAGCTCCAACAAGCTGAATTCAGGGCGACATGACGCAACCTTGTAAGGGATACCAGCAGAGGTGGGTCAGAACCCTAGTGGTGACAGGGTTACGGTGACTGGCTACCTCTGTAGGCTCGGATGTGATCCAGATCTTCTGGGCTCTAGGTACTGGAGGTGTATGTGAGGCGGTTAATTACGGCCCTATGTGAGGCACATGGCTCATGTTTTTTTGCATTTGTGGCCGGCACTGAAATCAGGCTGATGTGTTGGCGTCCAATAAGTTGGGCATTTGTTGTTTGCACTGGGCTGCCTGGGGTGGTTCACTGGAAGCTGTGGCGTTTCTGCTGGAGAAGGAAGCGAACATCGATGCCGCCATTGGGCCAGAAGGACCAGAAGGACCAGAAGGACCAGGACCTCACCCCAATGAAAGGACTTTAAGGAATCTTATTTAATAGTGATGGCCTCCAACCTACATTGGGATGGCCACCAACCTAAGAGCGATGGCCTCCAACCTAAGAGCGATGGCCTCCAACCTAAGAGCGATGGCCTCCAACCTTACTAGCGATGGGTTGGGTTTCACTCTTCTAGAGGAGTGGTGACCCAACAATCCTGATGGGTGGGTGGAGGGTCGGTCGAGGAAGAGGGGACCATGTCTTTGGCATTCTTTCGGCCTCATTCAGCAAGTCCTGGTCCCAGTCCCATCATCGCCTCCTTTGAAGTCATGTGATCGAACCACCCACCCACTCCAAACGACTCCAAACCAGTTCCACATTGATTAGTCCTTAGGTTCGGATCCGACCCCTTGTATACGAGATGAGCGGCCCGAACCGCCAACTTGGACTCCAGCAGATTCCACTCCTTTTCCAGAGCTGACTGGTTGGTAGACCAGTCTATATAGCTGCGAGACTCAGGTCTGCCATGCCGGATGCAACGTGGCTGTGTGGGCTGCCACGGCTGGATCCTTCGACATGTGCCAATGGCTCCACCAGAAACGTGCAGATTTCGCCTCCACCAACAAGAAGCTCGTCTCATGCGGCCCCAAAACCTACTGGTACCTCTCTCAGACGCGTTAGGGAAGCGACCACCACCGGATCCCTGATTCTTTTTGCACGGGAGTCGACGTGTTCGTAGCGCAGAACATGGAATGAAAAAGTCATTAATACCAGTTGTTGTTATCGAATCATGTCCCACTTTCGAAGGTACGACCGAAGCCGGGTCAAGTGTCAATGGTCTTGGGACTGGTTCGAACCCCCTAGACCCCCTTCCACACCACACCTTCAGCCCAGGTTCCCATCGTTCCAGTTCGGGTGACTGCGAAAACCACCACAGGCACTCACCCATCTTCCAACCAACGACCAACCAACCCCGAAAGCCGAAGCTTGTGTTCTTTGCGTCGTGGCACCTCACCGCAGGTTGAAGTCGGACAGATATAAACAGATGCTCCATGATGACCCACGATGCTACCTGATGCTCCCTGATGCTCCACGATGCTTCCTGATGCTCCATGATGATGCATGATGCTTCATGATGCTCCCTGATGCTTCCTGATGCTCCATGATGATGCATGATGCTTCATGATGCTCCCTGATGCTTCCTGATGCTCCATGATGCTCCACGATGCTGCATGATGCTCCATGATGCTCCATGATGATCTATGATGCTCCTTATGCTCCATGATGCTCCTGGTCCTGGCACATTGATGTATACCCGAAATAGCCCGACTTCCGGTCCCCTCAAGAACCAGGGATTGGTGATCAACATCTCCGACGGACTCACCCATCCAGAGTGTTGGGTCCCATATTTCCAGTCTGGCAAAAGGGGCCGAACTCGGCCCGGGATCATGTTTAGGGTTGTGTTCGCATGCCTCTAGTATAGGAATCCCTATAGGGAGCCAGTCATACCTTCCAAGGTTCGACCTCCTAGCCAAGATACTTTCTAGCGAAGGACCCAACGTAATCTTGGCTATCACCCTCTTGAGCTCAAACATGCTCAAGCACTCTTGCGCCTCTGCCTTCTTCTTTCGGGCTCGCGGCTCGCCCCCAGTTCCTGAGCCCCCAGGAATGGCCATGGTGTCCTAAACAAGGCCTGCTGGCGAGGACGGATTTTGCCGATTTGTGAAGCGAGCTGAGAAGTGACAGATAGCGATAGACAGTGGGGTGTGAACATGTATGGAGGTATGATATGTGGTTCAGTGTTCGAAAGTGCACATAGTGCTAGCCCGGAGACAACGCATGAGAACGAACATGGAGGCTTGGAGGGTCATTCTACATTCTTCATGATCACTTTATTGATCATATCATATGGCTACGGCCAAAAACATAAGGTTTGGATCACTCTCACTGCAGCGCGGAACGATCCATACCAGGGTTTCTGGCCACACCCATATCAATTAATATCATATATGCGTACATGAGAGAGGGAGAGAGAGAGAGAGAGATGTCCCCATCCCCCTGCGACACTTTCTTCGCTCGCAGGACACAGCGTGAAGCTCATCTCTTGGATGCTGAACCTGGAAGGCGCCTGTCTGGCGCGAGCGGCGCGGCCAGGCAGGTCGCAAGATAGAACTGAGACACTCCATCATGCCAGACACCTCGATGATCTCCCTAGAGTTGATCCTAAGAGTCACTCAGAGTGCACCAGACTGGGGTACCATAGAGCACTTGACTGTCGGTACCATAGATGGCCTGACCAATGATTGGTTGGTTGATTTACACGACGGGAGACCACCGGTCGTGTACAACCTCCATACCTAGAACCTTGGTGACCTTTGTTTTGATAGTGGTTCAAAAATAGAGGTCAAATGGGTTCCAGGTAAACTGTGGTTACCAAACAACCCATATTAATAATACACTCTCTCACGGAAGTGGATGGTTTGGTCTCTTGGAAGACTACTTTCCTCTAGACTCTAGAAACAGTTTTGTTTCTCTTTTAACGTAACCATGTTAGTAAGTCCGAGTGTAGTTCCGGTACTAGTCAGCCGACATCATCCGCGGGTGCCAGGTGTTGAAGCGCAACTCTTTGAGTCTGACTGGGATGGCGAATTGCCCTTGGACAGGGCTCGTCAAAAAGGCGCGGGGTGGGTGAAAACCGTGTGTGCGTATCCGTGTGCCCGTGCTTGTGTTTGCAGGGGTTCCAACAAGGAAATGCGGATGCGTTTTGCTGTTTTCAGGGTGATTGTTTACTTTCCGAGCTGGGTGAATCCCCTAGCCTGGGCAATATGGAGATGAGAAACGATCGAATCTTCTGTGAGAGGAAATCTACTTGGTGTGATGGTCGGGGGCACTTTCTGGGTCCTGAGACCACACCAACAAGATTCGAGTTTTGTGATGTAGGCTTTGCCAGGTGTGTTCATATAACAAACCTGTCCCCAATCAGCTATGAGCTGACTACTCCGCATGAGAATTTGACAACTTTTTCTGGTATTCAAGTATGTTTGTTCCAGAAAGTGATTTGCACAATGCTGCAGAAGTGCGGCGGGCTGGGGGAAGTGTATTGTGTGTATTTTGATCAACCCGTCTTTGAAAAGGATCCTTTGTGCAACCATGCCTAGAATATGCCTCTTGGAAACTCTTGGGTCGTCATGCTGCCGTACCATCAGCGGAACTTGTACCATAATTCGTGTTCTATTGAGGAACATCACCTTGAGCTTGAAACACATACACTCTGCAACGACCAGTCTGCACTGCACCATGAGGCCACTCGGCGCTTGCTGAATGGCTACGCGATGAGATGTGCGAAAGAAGACCTTCGTGGCAAGATTGCGCAAAGCAGAGCTCAGAAGAAGATCCGAAAGTGCCAGATTGCGCAAAAGGTGCTGCGTTGGATCTTTGAAATGTTCGTTCCTTCTCTTTGGCGAACCAACATCTGGACCAATGCCACAGATTCTCTATTAAAAGCAACTGCAAACCATTCGCCATGATGCTGCAGATCCGTTTTTCTTTTCGTCTCCACAAGCCAATGCTGCAGATTCGTTGCGAGTTCCGAGAGTTCCGAGAAGTATGGCTCGAAGACTTGGGGTGCTCATGGCATGCGTAGCCGGCGCTATGGACTCTGTGGCACCTGCCTGTACAGCGCTGGAGGCAGCTCGAAAACTCACTGCCCCCAAGGCGACGTTGAAGCAGCTCGAAGACCAACGGAATTGGGAGGTAAGACAAGGTTAGACAAATAAAACATAAAGACGGAAAGAGGATCACAGAATCTCACTTCAGGTGTTGTTTTTAGGGGGTTGATTCGTTCGTCTTCTTACTTCAGGTGCACTTCCTTCAGGCGTTGGTCCACTTGTTGGGGCGGAAGACCTATTTTCCACATGTGGGATGGATAGATATGTGATATAGGGACACCCCCAAGCTCCCCAACCCCTGGCTGGAATACCACCGAACGATGTCTAGAGATGGGCTGGGCCAGGGAGCCGAAGACCAAAAACACAGAAACCACACTGGTATGGGCTCAAAAGAAAGTTAGTTAGCTTGAGGTAGTTGCAGGTGAGGGTAGTTAGCTAACTACCCCGTCACCATGGGTAGTTAGCTTCGTCACCATGGTAGTTAGCTTGAGGTAGTTGTTTAGGACCGGAACAACAAGAACTTGAGGTAGTTGCATGGAGACCAGACCATGGAGACGGGGAGGGGAACCCACCCTGCGAAAGGAAAGGAACATGGTCATCCAAGGGTCCATGTTCCATGTCAGTGAGTCGGAAGGGTATCATGATTCTAATGTGACTCTTGATTTATAAGCCCACCCCAACTGGATTGAAGAAACCTCTTCCTATGGGGGGTTGATGAATCAAGAGTCTACATTGCACTTTGAAGAGTTGCAACTGGTTCAGGTTTCGAAGGTTTTCTACTAGTAACAAGTGCATCGCTACGAACGTAACAAGTGCCTTACGTAGCTACGCTACGAGTAACAAGAAGGACCCAAATCGTAGCGATGCACTTGTTCCTCCGTGGCGGGTCTGAGATGGAGTCAGATCGGGCTGATCCCTGCAGCTGTTTGGCGTTTCAGGAAGAATGGGGAATTCGAGGGCGGAGACTTCTGGGAAGAGCATGAAGACTTGCTGAGATCAGCCTGGCGAGAGCGTGTGCCTTTGCATGCGGAGCTTTATGAGTATGGTCCAGCCTTTGAGAGGGAGTACCTGCATCCACAACTGCGCGATGCGGTTCAGAAGGCACGTCTGGGGCAAGAGAAGGATGCACACGAGCTCTTTGAAGAGATCATTCCAGGCTGGGCGGAGGGTGGCCAACATTTTGTTTATGAAAGAGGAGGAACACCACCACTATAGACCCTTAGCTGCTAGCATCCGCTGGCCTTCCAAGACATTCCAAGGCCATTAAAATATGAAGGTTCACCTGCTAGGACCAGGTGTCTAAAACCCTTAGCCAAAACCATGAAATGGTGCTTCAATCCCAGACACGACCGCCATCTGGGACTGTCATAGGACGGACTGCCTAGTTTCACGGCCGTGTATTCGGGGTGGTGCCAGGGGGGTCTGGCTGGGGCGGCAGTCCGAACTGCAGTCCCAGACAGGTCGTGTTTGGGAATGGTGCTTGGAATCCAAGGCATAAAGATCTGGGCCCGAGGGGCGGACTGGACTGCACGATGATGAAACGCCCTTTTGGGTGGCACAGATCGAAGAGATAGATCAGATGCAAGTTCAGATCGAGCAGTGTTGATCAAACATTCATTCAGATGTGTGAACAACACCGTGATCTCTGGGATCTAAAATAAAAATCAGCACCACACCTCTGGAACGTCTAAACTTGCTTCGCCGGGCTTCGCCGCTGCAGCTCTCTCTGTGGTTCCGGGTTTGTATTAGAATAGGGAGACCTCCTAGGCGTTCCAACCCCCCTGGAAGAAGGAACATAGACCAGTTCACACCCAATTGTTGGGGGTCTCCCTAGATTAAAATACATCCCCATTTATGTATGGAATGGTTACCTTACACGGATGGGTCACAAAATCAGGACCTGGTTATATTAAAATATATTTAAAATTCACATCCAGCTATATGTCACCCCATCTTTGACACTCACCTCTTTTTCGACTCCCGCTCACCTCCTCAATGTCCGGTCCGCACGTAGAGGATCCGGACTGGAACATGGGTTTGGATGGGGTTGGCACCTCAAAAGTCGAAGCAAACCTTAGATCAATAGCCTGCTTCCTCGCGAGCAACCAAGGATTTGACACTACAAAGCCAGATCATAGCAGATCAACATAGATCAAACCATTTTTACTGATGGTCTTGGACTTCCAGAGGTTTGGATGAGTTTGGCTCAGGGCCACAAACCGACCGACCCCTATCAATTCAGAGGCTTCGACCCCTGCGTTGAGAGAGCTTCGACCCGTCATGAACGACTCTCATCATTGATATCGTCTCGCGCGTCACGGGCTGGCCCCATAGATGTGGCCCCGACACCATCCATGTATGGAATAGTTATTACATCATCATACTACTCCATACCCCCATACACGACCCGTCGACTGCCAGTTCGGACTGCCGCCCCAGCCAGACCCCCCTGGCACCACCCCGAATACACGGCCGTTTTGAAGGCAGTCCGTCCTGGCAGTCCCAGACAGATCGTGTTTGGGTAATACATATGGATCGTTTGGACCAACGACGGACCTGTTCCCTTCTTTCAGGTGTCTTCGCGACGGACCTGCTCTTCACCGCCCAGTTCCGCGAGGAGTTCCGCCGCGAGTTGGACGCCATCAACGGTTCGGGGATTCCAACCCGAAGGCCCAACGGAATGAATCGGTCTCTTGGTGGCCCTTACCGGACTGGAAGAATGGTGTACATTTAATTGGGACACCTCCAAGAACTGGGTAGACTGGAAGATGACTTTCTTCTATCAAGGGGGTCTAAGGGGTTGGGCTCGCTCCCTCTTTTTAAGACATACATTGACCCGATCTTCAAGCCATCCGAAAGTGTACTACCAAGAGAGGTTGAACAGCCCATCCGGTCGCCCATCCCATATGTACCACTAATTACAGGGTCCGAACGTTCTGGTCGCTCAACCTCTCTTGGTACCCAAAAGGCTCAGGTCTCTCAACCCAACCCGTTTGCTGCGGCACCTTCAAGTCCGGTCCGCCTCGCATGGGCCCTTCCTGGACGCAACTCCGGGTGGACACCCAGTCTCAACCAGAGCGAAACGATCCAAAAACATGGATATATACCAGGACACTCGGGCTAGGGGTGTCTAGGTCCATAGCCCCGATCTAAGAGGTGAGAAAGGGGTGTCCATGAAAACCACCCCGACGTCCTAGTAATGAACAAACAGCAACTTTTTATGTAAAGAATCGCATATCATGATATATGCATGAAAATTTGCCATATGGAAACAACCAGAATCTGCTTCGGACTGGGTTTCCAGGCGTATACGCCTCACTGATGCATCCCAGTGACCTCATGTCGACAGGCAAACCCAGCATTTGTTTCTGGGTTGCTGGTGTTTTCACGACCGCTCCATCGGGGTTGAAGGCGTAAAAATGGTGAGGCAAGAGACCCGACTGAGGTAGCCTTTGGATCCATCCATGAACCACAGCATCATGACATGGTGTAATCCATGAAAGAACAGCAAACAGATGTTTTTTTAGTTGAACGGAACCATCAAAAGCCGCCATGGCTTCTCATGATGAAAAGAGTCAAAAGCCATGGCTTCTCATTCCAGTACGACTGCTGTATACTATATTCCGAGGTACTTTGAGGGTCAAGGCAGATTTAAGAAGGCAAACATGTCCCAGACACGACCAATGGGACTGCCATATTTACATATACATTGGGGTGGTGCCAGAGGGGTCAATGTGGGTAAATATGCCAGTCCCATTGGTCATGTCTGGGTGTTGCAGAGTTTCAAGATCGAGGTGTGTCCGAACTGGTCCACCGACCTGTCGGTGAGTCATTCATGTGGGTAACAACTCCACCTGCGAAATCCGACTGACGCATCCTGGCACCGGACAGTCGAGACTCCGAGATGTTCAGCCCTACAAGTGCAGTCTGACCTAGTAAAACCTGTTCATGCCTGGTCTTTGTCCTCCAAACGAGTAGTGTTTGTTGTATGACCAACTCCAGTATTTCCTGACGTCGACGACTTCGAGGTCCCAAGGTCAGCCGTCGTGGGACCTGGGACTCCGTTCCCGACGACGGTCCCGTTCCTCGTTTGGGTCTTCCGCACGATCGCCAAGGGGGCAGAGAAGACGATCCCCTTAGAGAACATTCCACGATCCCCGCATATGAGCAGACGCGATCATTCAGACGTTCTCAGTCGGAGGGAGCGGGTCTTCCAGCCGCGATGAGGTGATTTTGATGCGCCCCAAATCCCAGGTATGGTGTGATCCTTGATGAAGTTGGCTTCGAGAAGATGTCGCTCGTCCGTCATTCAGCTTGGCTGCACCTCTCTTTTTGACAAAAGGGGCACCTCGTTCAGCTTGTTGCTTTGGGGTCACTATAGGTTTAGATGGGATGGGCGGCTGTAGACTAGCTAGTATATGACTACGCTGCCGACTGTCTAGCCCTACCCCAGCGCTCGATTTTCGACCCACACCCTGTTCTCTTAAAGATGAGGAAGCCTTTTCTCTTAAAGCCTTGCAGCCATGTGACCACTATGCAGTGCACGTGGACGATGGTGAAATGTACGAAATTCACTGGCCAAGATCAGCATGTGGAGCAAGATCAACGCCAGAAACCTTCGGTGCATGCCAGTGCGGGTCCTGACCCACATGGAGGTGTTTCAGAGACGATCCTCCGGTCACCTTCCAAGACCATTAAAACCCGGCTTTGTATGGCTTTGTAGTATAGTGTCCTATAATAGATGTCTCTAGTTAAAGAATAGTGGTTCGGTAATTAAGAACCATCAAAAGAATGGTGGTTGGAATCCTAGGGTCCACCCAAACCCCTGAATCTGACGATCGCCTCCCAGGCTGGAGCAGCTGTGCGATGCCTATTTGCGACCCCTGGCCGCGATGCTCTTTCCAGAGCTGGTTGGGGCACGCGATGCGGATGAGCACTACGCCTTCACTGTGAACTACGACACAGAGGGTGATACCGAGTTGGCCAAGCATGGCGATGCTTCGGTGGTGACCATCAATCTGTGCTTGGGTCCAGATTCTTGGGAAGGCAGGGACTTTGAGTTCAGACGTCGGTGTTGGGTGGCCCGAATGAAGGTCCAAACGAACAATACTCGACGCATGCGCTACGGTAGCGCCCGAACTCACAGAAAGGGTGTGTCAATTTTCCGGAGACTACCGTCAAAAGGGTCCTTCCCGCACACGTGTTCTTTTTCAACAGAGAGTGAGGCAGCACCTTGCGCTTCTTCGAAAGCGGTGGCTCTGGGATGTATGCCCTGCCCAAGGGGAACGACTCCGCAGGCGCAGGGGATGTGAACTTCCGCGCGGGCATGGCACTGATCCATCGCGGGCAACACCAACATCAGGCGCAGGAGCTCACCAGTGGTCAGCGAGTGAACCTGGTGAGGCTCGCCCTATCTCGTCGGATGACCGGCCTTTCAATGCCGTTCAAAGGCTTGGTGAATTACTGTAGTCTGATGGATACTGTGCATCCAGTCGTGTACAAGCATATATACCTAGATCTTCGAACTGTGCAACATGTTTGCATCTAAACCAGCCAAGGTCGGCAGAAATAACAAAAGTTGCATAGTTGGAAGATCTAGGTATATCCATTGGTATCCATGGTACCTGGTACTGACCCCTGCCGAACACCGTCGAAAGCTGAGCTCGGGGGTTTTGCGGATCAGGTGCTTTTGATCTCCCTGTTAAATCCCCTAACCTTGGGAGTATGAATCTGTGTGTTTTTTTCCTGGTGGCTTAAGTGAATCCAAGCTGTGTTTTTATCTTTCTTCTGAGTTCTCCCATGACACACACACACATGGAGGGTGGGTGAGAAAAGCCACCAATACGGGTGAGTAGTCAACTGCTTCAACTTCCGCTTTTCGGGGTGAAATGGACACCCTTTAAATGGGTTTATTCGCTCAGTTTCCCGATTTCCAAGACAGGTTGAACAGCCCATCCTATAGCTTATTGCCCATCCCATATGTACCACAGACCAGGGTCCTAAGGTCCTAGCTCTGCTCTCTCAATCTCTCGTTGGTTTCCAAGACACTCCAGGTGAAGGACGGGACGAATTTTGGGATCGCTGGCGATCGGCGATCGATTCGGCGACCGGCCGGGTGTGTTGGGAGACACGACTCGTGACGTCATCGATGCTCTTCCCGGTCGACCGGGTCCCAGGTCCTGAACGCTTCAAGAGACACCGTGATCACTCTGTTTTTGTTGACTCCCATGTGATCACGGTGGTAAAACGATGGACGATGGTGTGCAGATTTGGCCCAATGTGCGTATTACAATGGTCTGAGTCTATATACCAAAATTCCAACACGGAACCTATACCATTTGTTATGTAGCAAACCAGCTCATATATATATACATATATATATATTTATATATATGGTACCCCCCCCAAAAAAAAACTACATTATCTTAGAATTCATTGGTATTTGCAGTGTGTTTGATAAGTTTTTTTCATTTGTTTTTTTTGGATCTACTTTTTCTTGTTGTTTTGGTGGTACCTTCCTTAAAATCATCATGCCTTAACACTTAATACAAAGTACTTGCTTTTGCGTTTACAAACGCAAAGTTTGTAAACGTTTGCAGATTCTTGGATCCAGGAGCCTCAGGATCCAAGAGTCCAGGGAAAACTTCTTAGAAGAACACCAGGAATTGAAGACATGTCATAGTAAACGAATAAGAGGACTTCGTCACCAGGATTGAGTCTTGGATCCTCAGGCTCCTGGATCCAAGAAGTTTTCCTGGAATCTTGGATCTAGGATCTGGAGCGTTTGCAAACGTTTGCAAACGCAACGTTTGCAAACGTATGCACATCATTTGGTCTCCCTTCATCAGTTTGAGTGCCGCATGTTTGCTACTAATGTCTGCCCAAACTTGAGCGCAAAGCCTCTGCATCGCCTGGCCAGCTGTCTCCGCAGGTGCCTTGTCTGTGGTCGGGCGTTTCGTACACTGGGCTTCACACCCTGAAAAAAGTGTTGATGCAGTGAACAGGGTCCCATGTTTGGAGCCTTTTGTGGATCACATACTGCACTTCTTAGCTTTTGCCCTTCTACTTTGCAGCGTTGTCCATGAGCGTCAAGGGCACTGTGACACTTGGGAACGGAGCTGCGCTCTTGCAGCTAGTTCCTAGCACTCCAATGCGCCAGCAGGACGCAAGGCCTCGTCCCAGATGATGTTGCGGAGCGGATCCGGCAAGGGAACATCATCATTCACCCGACTAGGCGGCCATTTACCAGAGAGGCTGCCAACTCGGCACTGGTTACAGTGCAGAAGAAGCTTCGTTTAGCAACGGGCGTGAATGGCCAATGGTCCTCAGAAGCGGATGAGATCCTGAAGAACAATTTGGAGTCTGACTGTCTGGTAAAACCAACACATCTGGCAACCAGGCATCTCACCCAAACACCTGACTAAACGTAGGTCTTTTTTTTGGGGGGTAGCATATATATATATATATATACATGTTTTTTTCACGTTTTGTTGACTGACTAATCATTTTCTGCGGCCTTCAACGAATGTGAGGATTTGGTTGCATGCCAAAGATGGTGTGGTGCGTATTGCTCCCTATGCCCCGGACGAGCAGCTCACGGCGGCACAGCGTTGGAGCCCACATCGCTTCCTGTGAGAGACCTGTGACCGCGTGACTCGATGTACAGCTCGAGTTTCCGTGGCTGTCCAAGTCCAAAACGATGTGACGCAATTCCACGGTGATTTGAGCGTGGTTCCAAGTTTGTCAGTGGATGTTCAGAAGGGGTTGGAATGGACCTTCCCAAACTACGGCTCACCTAAATGGACTAAAGTGAAAAGACCATATATATATTTATGCATATATATATTGGGTTTGTCCTATATATCACCTGTAACACTCGTCAAACCATGATTACTGTTTGCTTAACCATCGTAGAAACCACCCAGCGTTTATTGTTTTTGCACGTTAGTGGACCTGTCATGAATCATTGATGAATGATCTGTCAGTTTCCATGTTGGTTTGCCTTGCCGAGATTCCATGTTAGTGCACTGGTGGAAGCTGAGAGCTACATCTTTGTTTGGCATTGTAAATCACCAAATTTCCACCGTGCTTTAGGAAAGTGTCATACTTTTGAGATATCGGCCAAGCTAAGTCCACATCCTTGTCTACTAGGCCCTGGGAGGTTGGGATAGACCCAAACCAGCTTGAAAATCCTCGACTGGACTGGACTGGACTGCAGAGAAGGGAGGCCCAACGGCCCAAAGACTGACGGAGCGCGCGTTCGCGTTCGCGTTCACCGAGCGCGTTCGCGTTCGCCGAGCTTCGTGGGAGGCCCATGGCGGAAAGAAAGGAGATCAGAGCGTCGTTTCATGTCGTTTCTCGGTGTTTCAGCGTTGAACAACTTGGCTTCTGGAATTCGGGTTGCAGGGGCCAAATGGGCAAAGAGTTCGTTCGCAACCAGAAGTGCTAGGTGCTAGGCACACGCACACTGATAGCTCCAACAAGACCAATAATTACCGACACGGAGAGTTGTCATGTATGCTGTGTTGACCTCACTGCGAAGCGTTTTCCAACTCGACGCTCTTTGGGGCTCAAAGAGCGCGTGGAATCCCACGCGAAACCAATAAAACGTGATGGGGACGCTACGAGGGCGAGAGCCCGGCTACAGCAGCGGCTACGGGAGCTATGCCAACACCACCATCTCAGACTTTGCAATGACAAAGACACTGAAGCCAAGGCCACCGAGCGACATGAGGCGCGTTGACGAGGGCAAGCGGGAGGGAGCGTTTGGACGAGGGTAAAGTGGGAACCGAATGGCGGACATGGCCGTTTCACTCTGAAAAGGCGGATGGTTACTCTTATTGGGTAAAGGCGTTGATGAATACTTGCACCAAAAAGCACGTATATATTTAGCCTCGGGTTTGTGTTTAAAATAGGGAGCCTCCCCCAAACCAATGGTCTTTTAGTCTTTCTCACTCTTCCCAGTGATCTTTGGGGGCTAAACCCGTATTCTAGAAAAGGATTTCCACGCCCAGCCACATGATTCTTGTGGGGAAGGGGCAGGAAAAACATGCAAAGCAAGTGGACCCTGGCCCCCCAGACCAAGCCATGGGACGATCAGTTGGGGTGGTTGATTTCAGGGGTCAATTGATCGGCAGTCCTATGACAGTCCCAGACAGGTCGTGTCTGGGTCATATTCCATTCAATCAGAACTCGTCAATATGAAGAACTGGCTTGGGGGGTCATGGCTTGCCGCCATGATGAGCTGATCCTCGCCAGGCCCTTGTTTCTTTATTGGGCTGATGTCTCCGAGGCGGGAGCTCGGCCAGTTCCTTCCTTTGGTCCCTGTGCAAAGGGTCTCAGACCACCCTGGAACCCCAGTCCCAACCGGAAACTCAATGGATGTTCCGATATGGCGCCAGCTAGAGATCCTACAACAGCAAGTCGTAGCTAGTGGTTGGACCACCGGGTGTTCGGAATTCCTGAGGAATGGGAGTGTTGGGGCGCTTGATGTTTAGGCATGTTTCACTCACAGCTTTCGACCTATTAGGCCGTTGGAGGGTGGGTGGATGTCAGGGTTTTACACCCTGGTAGCAGTGAAACAAACCAAAAACGAACAACCAAGCAAACAACCAAAAATCAGCAAGAAAAGCAAACAAACAAACAAACAAACAAAGAAACGAACAAGCAAAATACCCGTCAACACAGCCGTGCCTGCATGTTCCGGTGATTCTCCTGTGAATTTTGCTTGGATTCTCAGCCTCTGCTGGAGGTGGATTTGGCCACTGTCGCCGCGGCTGAGTCCCAGCCGCCCTGTTTGGGGATTCTTCATCCCGGATGACAATCCATGGGACTGACATATTGACCGTACACATCCCGGTGGTTGATTTCCGGGGTCGAGGTATTTTATTGTGTTTTCTGGGTGGACTGACGTTTTTACCTATACATGATCCTACATTAGGGTGGTTGATTTCTGTAAAATATGCCAGTCCCATGGATGGTCCTGGGGATGAATTCGCTTGGGGAGGCAGAAACTTTCTCCGCAGCCGGCCAACCTGTGTGACAGGACCAAGGCTGAGATTCGACAGCTCCTCAAGGCGCGGCCGGAGAAAGACCAGGGGTGTTTTTTGGTTGATACTATTGCCCCCTCACCCCAAAAAGAGGGGATTGGGAGTGATTCGGGGGTCTGCGTGAACGACTTCTTGTTGTAGCTTCTGAATTCGCCTTTTGACCAGACCAGAGGTGAAGGGCCGGGACATCCATCGGGGTCTTCATGAACCACCCGACGGAAGTCCTGGAGTTCTTTGGTGCTGTCAGTTGGGTGTGGTGCGGTTGGCTCGAACTGCTGTGTTGGGTGTGGTGTGTGTGGTTCCAACCTCGACATGTGCAAAACCTCTTTCCCCAAACTCGGTTCCTCGCCCGATGTGTTCGTTCATGTCTCGACGAGTGTGACCGAGCACGTACCGAGACAAAAACTGGAGGAGTATATGAAAGTGGATCAACCTGATGAACTTCGGGCCTGCATCCCAGCTGTTTCATGGTGTGTTTTTTTTTTTGTGTTGGTCAAGCGAGAGGGGCGGCACGCCTGCGACTGAGGCAGAGGTGCTCACGGACATGCACTACCACAACTACTCGTTTTGCGTGTACGCTGCGGAATCTTTTTAGCAGGGTCTTTTGTCTTGACGACAGGAATCAGACCGGAGCTAGAGATTGACATCCTTGTTTTTGAATCTGAAGTAGCAGTGGGTCGTCCAGTCAGCGCACTCTTCATGTTTTGAAAGCAGTGAAGGATGCGACCCACAGCCAAAGGGCGCGACTGCAACTCCACACGACTGCTTGGTCGGTCTCTTTCAGTGCTCACAGAAATAGCTGGAGACAAGCAACTTCATTCACGAACAACTAGCATGTCTGACCATTTTGGATCATACTTCCGCATCCATCACAATGCTTTAGACTAACAGATTGCAAGCATCTTGCAACTAGAAGTCATGTCAATCGGAAGGAGAACACCGAAGGAGATTGAGCCCAACCGCCTCGCCTCACCTCTTTGAAGCACCAACCACGACGAAACTCTTCGACCCCAATTCTTTCCCACCGCGCGCTGATCGCGACTGATGCGCCGTGATGGGTCAAGGCCGCCTGGATCTGGGATGTGCGGCCTGGGATGTTCCTGGCAGTTCTCAAGAGTGCCGAACCTTCTCATATCTATTCAAAAAAATACACACACATGGTAGTTATACTGACCACTGACCCAGGGGCGACGAAATGACCCAGTAGTAACATATGGGATGTTCTTGGGATGTCAATGCGATGTGCCCGCCGAGCGACCGAGAGAGTGGCGTGAGAGCCATGCACGCCCACAGGAGTGTGAGCGGTGCTCGCCTCAGGGCGATGAGAAGAAGACGCATCGGTGGGTCGGGCGTTTGATTTATGGATGGTATGGATTCCACCATGGGATTCCCTGACTTTTGGCTTATATAGGATATATTGTTATATAGAAATCCCCAATTATCATGCGTGAATCCCGTTCTGGGGACATATCTTACATATAATTTTCGGTATATTCCATCAGCAAATCATATGTCTTCCATCATGGATCATCTCATCCAGGGTGTTCTTTGAGGGCCCGAATCCAGGCCTCATGGCTCCAAGGCTTTTTGGGGAACAAGTCCTTACCTGTTTTCGAGTGAAAAGAGGGCCTGCCATGTGGCGCCATGGGTCATGGAACCCTGGGAGAGACCACCCAAAGCCGACTCGAGGACCTGGGAGGTCAACCTACCCTTGTTTGGGGCTCCGGGTTTTGACCCAGAGCCATGCATGGCCCCAGGATTCTTAGGGATGAGTCTTGTTGCGATGCCATCGGGCCCATGTCGTAGCGAGCCGGTCGGAACCAAACCCGACGTCCGTTTTTTCGGGTCGGCCCGACCGCGAAAAGGACCAGGTTTGACTGGGTCTTTGATGGTCTTTGGACTTGGGAAATCGCCTGTTCCCAGCGTATCCATCATCATCCCCAAGATGCGAGGCAGCTTTGCCACACAGCACCTATCAGCCGAAATCTCCAGAGCAACCTTGGACATTCGTGGAATCCCACGCTCCGCATGAAATGGGTATAGAACATGGAGAGTCGGTCTCAAAGCGCTCGAGGACGCTTCAAGTTGAACGCTCAACTCAATCAACTCCATCATATATATATATAATATATATATATATATTATGCATTGGCTCATTTGACTTCACCTCATCTCAAGACAGATAAAGAAATGATATGAAATGATCCTTGATACCTGTCACCTCCTCCCCAAGTCGCCCAAGTCACCCCAAGTTCCCCGCACGAAAGGAAAAATCAAACATACATATACCTCCCCATGGATCCACATACCTTTTGAGAAGGTGATTGGAGACTATTTATGGCTTGGAGGGTCCAATTACCTGAGGAATCGAAGGTCAAACCCACCGGAGCCACGAAGGCAAGAAGACCCGGTGCTCGGCGCCGCAAGAAGCCCAGGTTGGAGTCATCCACCCTCCGAAGGTGCTGCATGAACGGCAAGGCGGAGAGCGCCACACCCGCGTGGGTGGACCGCGGCCCGGGCGAGGTCGGAGCACGGTGGTGTTCAGTTGGTGTTCGGGTCCTGGCCATTGGTTTGTTTCCCAGACACGCTGCGGGGCCGACCTTCACCCCCCCCCAAAAAGCTCCCCACCTGATTCGCAAACATGGCATTCGCAATGGATAGTGGGCAAACATGCCAAGACAGCTTAAGTGACCTGACAAAGGACCCTGTTGGGGTACCCAATTGGGATAGTCGTTCTTCAACCTCTGTTGGTGGGTTCCTCATGATCCGACTTGGCTATATAAGAGCCTCCCCTCCATTTCGCGCCCCCAAAAAATAAGAATGCCAGCCTGTGGCTGCGGTGAGGGTTTTGTAGCTTTGATGAACATTCCAGAAGAGATCGAAATGACTCGGACTCCCAGGGGCGAGTAAGTCATATATACATTCTGCACGCTCACACCTTCAACTTCTGTGGATCCCCTCTTTGACCTGCACCCCATCGCACCATGCGCTGTGCAGGCAGCCGCTGGCCAAGATGGAGGAGGCTATGGTGGCGGGTTTTGGTATGGGAGATGAATCGGTGACGCTAATTCTACAGGGTCACCTCATTTTACTTGTTCTGGTTCGGTCATGCAAAAACAGTACTTGATGAGTACAAGGATCAGTTTTCATTTGGTCCTTGGACTGGAACCGGCTAATGTCAAAACACCACGGAATCACAAATTGTTGTGAAATCCCACGAGGCTTTCACTTGGCTCTAGGGTGACATTATAGCATGTTATAGCATCAATATCATTGATCAATCAAGAGTGGCATGCACCTTCAGACCTGACCTGGGCGTTTCGGAACAGGGTGATCTGCACAGACCGCCACATTCATGAATCTCACACACACACATCATACCCTATAACCCAGACCATCCATGTATGGAAAATTGACACAACGCTAACCCTCAGAACATCTTAAAATCATCCCAATGTACGTAAATCTTTTCAGTCCCATGGATGCTCTGGGAAGAATCCGTGGAACCCAGCAACCTTTTTCACCTGACCCTTGGTCGTCATCCAGAATCCGCAGAGCGCCAGGAGCACCTTCGTTGTGGCAGCGGCTCCTCAGCCCGCCGGGGACGCTCAGAAGCTCAGAAAGCTGGTTTTCCTCGGGAGTGAGGGAGGATCCTCACCGGCGTGAACCAACAAAGCACTGGTTCACCCCAGCCCGAGGCTTCCAAAAAAGGAGTCACAGGAAGTTCGGCTCTGGGTGGTTTGGTTCATCTCATCCGTGGGCCACTTCGGCACCCCGACTTCCTGCAACTTCGGCACCCTGACCGTGTGGCGACCATGTAGACACCTTTGCCGGGGGCCCGAAGTGTAGAACCTCTATACACAGGATGCAAGTGCAGCCTTCCCTACCACCAACAGTTCCATAGGTCTGTTCCATAGGTCCCCGACCACTCTTTCTACCCACCTGGGAGTCATAATCCGTACAGGGGCCACATGAGTCAAATGTGGATTCTCAGCCAACAGGTGCTTTCTTTTTCAGAACCCTAGTTCGACTATCCCATATACCCGCGCAGGGTCCTTTGTCACTTCACCTCTTTTGGTAGGGTTGATTTCTTCTGACAGAACGACGGATCGTGTGGGGCCTCCTCCGGCGCCGCCCGAACCAACACGTGATCCGTCCGTCCGTCGGTCTCTGCAGACGTCGCACGAGCGTGGGTCGACCTGCCGACGACATGCGCTGGTCCTCTTGGGTTCCCCACCCAGGATGGCAAGCCTGTGGCATGACCCCAAACACGACCAATGGGACTGACATAGGACTGCCGCCCCAGACAGACCCCCCTGGCCAACACCGTTGGCCGTTTCTCGGCATATATTGCCATACATGGAGTGTATGGGTACAGTAGACGCTACAGAAACCACGTTCCCTCACCCTGCCGCCTTGTTCGTGACCTTTGCTCTGATTGCTTTCAGACCTTTTTTCCTTGGTCCAAACCAGTTTTGCAGGATTGGCCAAGAGTTAGCAGTTAGCGTCCAAGAGTTTCAAAGGGGTGCTTAATGAAGGTGAGGGGTGCCCAGAATGTCCACTCACTGGATGGGACTAGTCTCACCCCCAACTCCATGTGACTGCTGGGTGCTTTTCTTCTTGTGTTTTTCCGTTGGGGAAGAGGCAGAGATCTTCCGGCAGATGGATTCTGGGCTCACCTCCTGGGGTAGGATATCAACGTCCGACGTCCTGCGCCTTCTGCCCGACGTCATGCAAGAAATGGCTGGAGGGAAGAACTACAGGAAACCCATCGTTTCTTTTTGCATGGAAAAACCATGGTTTCCTGATGTTTCCGGTATTGTTCCACCAATTCTGGCACGACGTTTGTGCCAAGGACCTGTCGCTGTTGCAAGACAGATGGTGAGCATACCGTGGCAGATGGGGACGATGTGCTGGACGCCCTGGCGTCGACTTGCCGCCGTCCTTGGCCAGTTTGAAACAGTCACCAGAAGGGCTCCAAAAACCACTCATGCCAATATGCCAAGATGATCCAATATGCCTAGATTCATCTAGATTCTAGATCTTCCAACTGTACAAAAAATATCTCCCTTTTTGTAATGCCCTAGGCATCCAAGTCCTTCTCAGAAGGTGATTCTTCTGTAGGTTTGGAGGGTCCAAGTAACTTGGGGAAGAATTGCTTTTTTATGATTTCCCGCTTCCTTGAGCACAAGTCCAAGTATCATAATCCCTAGGGCTCCTGGCCCATACCCTCAGGTTCGGTGGTTGGTTAGGCCCCTCTGCCACCCACCATCACCATCTTCGAAACGGAGGTAGGCCAGCCAGGAGCCCAAACGGGATCATACTGAAGCACGAAATGAAGTGAAGCCATGACCCAGACACTCCATGGGACTGCCATATAATATGCCTACATTGACCCCCCTGGCACCACCCCTGGCCTGATCGGCATATATGCCAGTCCCATGGGTCGTGTCTGGGGAAGACCCTTTTCGGAGTCCTTTTGGAGTCCCGTTCGCCCGCCCCCGAGGCCGGCGCAGATCGCCGACTGCGACGACGAGTTGAATCGAGGCGGAGCTGGGACGGTCGAGTGTCACGGAAGCACCTCTGGATCGCAACACGCCAAACCCAACGTGTGGATCCAGAGTCCGGGATCGCAAACACGCCTTCGTAGCTTCCCCTCAACATGGAGCCTTCGGCGCTTGGGTGGACCATCCGACCCAACCGCGGACGAGGGCGTTCATGGAGTCCTCAGCGGAGTCGGGCTCCGAACGGCGCCACGGTTTGTTTCTCCGAACATGCACCCAACAACACATGCATCATCATGCATCCATATGGATCTTCGTGGCGTGACGCGTGTTTTGTCTTTTTGTAAAGCTAATTAATGTTGTTGTTGGTCCTGTGTTGGGTCCTACCAACAAAAAGGCTTTCTGTTTCAGCAGTGTCCTCTGGGCCCGCCGTTGGACCGTGACACCCGCCGTCCACCGTGGACACCGACACCGCGTGGACGGACGCGTTGACTCCGCCCGGTTTGAGGACTCAGCAAGTCAGCTCCGAAGGACCGGGAAGACAGTGAGAGAACAGTGGGTGGGTGCTGAGGGTCATACCCAGACACACCAGGACCATGGATGGACCCTCCAAAAGAGGTGTCTAGCCTCAAATAGCCGAGCTCTTAGAGGTGAGTCGAGGTGTCCCAAAAACCACCAAATCTTGGAAGGTCCTTGTATGACTCATATTTCCGAGAAAAAAGAACAGTGGCTGATTTCAGGGGTCAATGCCAGGACCTTCCAAGATTCGGTGGTTTGGGACACCCCGAATCACCTTTAAGAGGCTATGAATAGACACCTCTTGGAAGGTGCTGGTATAGATTCCAGTCCCATGGATACTGAGAGAAAAGCGAGATGAGATGTCGCGATGCAGAACGACTCAAATCCAGGGTTCCGGTATAGGTGTTCGTGAAGTTTACCCAGCATGACCGGATTTGAGGTTATTGAAAGGAATTATTGTTGAAAAGAAAACATACAATGGGTGCCCTCGCTGGACTACCCTACACTACTATCCGGGATCTCCAGACAGGACATCAAGGGATGTCAGAGGTGTCTCTGTGGTGCTGGCCATAGTTTACGTTATAATAGTATAACAGTATAACACTATATAACACTCGATTTTTGAGCCACCGGGGCCATTTCTTTGGAGATGGCTGCGTTGGCGAGATGGCTAGAGATTGGCAGGTGTCGACACCCACCTCGCTACTGACCGCCCTCCACACCCACATCGATTGGTCTGGGTGGGAGTGGTAAAAGCATGTGAACCACCCAGCGGGAGTTTGACCAGGTCACACTGCGGACAAGCAGAGCACCCCAGGGTCATCTCGAGAGTGCGAAGAGATGGACTGATCGGTGAAGTGTTCATCCGAAGCCTCGATCTAGCAACTTTGGACCACTTTGGACCATTGAGGTGACTCACGGCAACAGAAAACAGAGGCAGAAGAGAGATATAGAATTATATACCAGGAGTCACAAAGGGGTGGTTTTTAGTCCCATCCAGTGAGTGGAGTAGCTGGGCACCCCTATCCTCCAAGTTCGGCATCCCTTTGTGACTGCTGGTAGAGAGGTTTCGTCTTCTTCTTCAGGATTCCCACCGTTCCTTCACACCCGTTCCTTCACACGTCAGGCGGTCAGCGATACCAAAGCGACACCCGCGACTCACCCGCGACACCCGCTTCTTCGGTCCGCTCTCAGGTGGACGGCAAGGCGGACTCCAAAGAGCTCGGGTCTCCGGATGCGCCGATGCGGTCGATGGCAGTCCGATGAGTCGTGTGACAGTGGTGGACAGCCATCTTCTTCGTTTCGCATTGCGCCGTCTGTTGCGCGTGTTCTGTCCGCCTCCACAGCTATATATATATATATATCATATAACATATATATGACAGAAGTCCCCCAAATAACCTAAAAACGTACATGTGCTTTCCGTATGAGTCATGGAAACACCTTTAGTTCGGCCCTGAGAGTTGGATAATTCCCCAAAGGATATAAGGAGAATGGCGTGAAAGGCACCACTGGTCTACCACTCCAGCACACTTTATAACAACGACATCTTCAACCTCCTCCAAGAAATTGTCAGATATACTGACATGCTTCCTTTTAAAGATCAGTGGCAGAGCAAATGTTGCCCCGACTTGCCTGCGGGCTGTTTGGATGTATTTGATGATAAGCCTGGCAGCTTCCTTGCAGAGTCCAGCAGCGCAGCATGACCCGCCACAGGGACCATACATCAGAATAGGTTGACAGAAGTGTTGACAGATTATGATGCATGATTTGACCTTTATGTGATCTATATAAACGTGTCTGAAGAATCCCTAACTTATGGATCAAAGTTTTAATCAAATCATCCATAATCATCCCAACCTTGACTCTTAATTGCACTTGGTCACAAGCTTTTAGCCAACCGCTCCACCTCCACCTCTCCCGGCCCTTCCCACCCTCCACACGCACACCTCGTCTCCTCGTCCCGAGGTGCGTCCGAGGAGACAAGCGGCGGTGGACTGACACCTCCCTGGCCTCGAACACGGACCGGAAGGAGATCGGACTCTCGTTGAACGAGTTCGCGGCCGGGGCAGCCCAGACGAGCGCATGCGAGTCGGGCTGTGCAGAAGCACGGGTAGACGCGGTGATTCCGTGGAGAGGTCAAAAGGAGAGGGGTTTTCCAGGCAGAGGAGGCAGAGGAGGCAGCTGGATTGCACTCATTTAAAACATCTTTCACAACTGTCCTATTCTGAGGGATGCATCTATTTTGGATGCGTCTATATAGACCTCCATGGCAGGGCGACCTTCTCCAGCGGGCAGGGACCTGAAGAAAAGCCTTTCTGCTTCGGTCGGATCCATTCCACAAAAGCTTCCACTTTGCACAGTCTTTGTACATTCAGCAGAATGCAATTGGGTTGCACATACCAAGTGTTTGCTGGTTGAGGAACAGAACTTTGTACTATATTGCTGGTACGTGCTTGCACGTACCAGATTCCAAGCAGACATCACTTAAGGTAACACGTTTTTGGTCGCCCACCATCAGACCAAAAATCCGACACGTCCGACGAGACCGGTGGGCAGAAACCTGGTGGGTTTTCATGCACCGTGTGTCAGATTCTTCAGTCATGGACGGCCCGGTTTTCATCCCATGCGCGCATGCATCGCGCACGAATCGCCGAGATTGTCCACCGAGCAGCTCGAAGTCTTCAAAAGGCGCGGCGATCGGATGCGAAGATTTGGCGTCGGACATCATGTGAGCACCAAAAGTGCCCCAACAGATTAGAAGTTGACTCCTATATAGAAGTTGAACCACCTACCATTTAATCGCCCTTTCCGAGCAACCATTCATTTTAAGGGTTTTAATTCCACAAAACCAGATCCTTCCCACTTTCAGAAATGGTCGAACGGACTTCCAGATGGGCCCTTTCTTGGAACTGGGGCCTCTTCGCCGACCGCGAATCGTTCTCAGTTCATGAGGCTGTCGGTGTGAGTGACGAGCCGACTGCGCGGGTGGCCTCCTCAGCCGCCGAAGGGCGCGGGCGAAGGGTGCGGGCGCGCCATGGGTGGGTCATAATGAATTAGCATAGTACATTATATAGAGACCCAAGACTTCAAAGTCCATGAAGAGAAAGCTTAAACCTGGCTGCTGTAGTCCAAAATCCTATAGTCATATACCAGGACCTTCCAACAGGTTATTTTTGACACCCCTGAACCTGTAAGAGGGGGTTTGTAGACACCCCTTGGAGGGTCCTGGTAGAACGTCAGGTTGTTCGATGAGGAACATCAGGAAATGCATGCGGCATAGTGTTTTGGGGAGTGCAACGTCACGTTTTCACCTACTGCATATATTAACCAAAAACCAAACTTCTTCCCAGAAGCTCCCTTCGCCATCGCACCAGTCCCTCAAATGCAGGGGTCCCAGATGGGAGGAGTCCCCGGGGTCCGCTGCCACCGCGCGCCCTTGCGCGCGCGGAGCAATCCTAAGGACCTGGATCGTGGTGTGCACGTGGAGAACATCTATGCACATGGCTCAGAGTCGGCGAGTTCGGCTGAAAGTGAACTAGGGTTTTCGGTTGCCACATCGGCGAGCAGGTCGAGCATGCGATGTGGAAAACCTCACGAATCCCCATGGGTAAAAGACGGTAGAGGAAACAGGAAGACGGTGTGGATTTGATTGTGGACATGATCTCCTGTGGCAAAGTCTGCAACCTGTTTGACGACTTAGAGAGGATGACCTACAGCTGCTATCCGCTGCTACTGTGCAGGACTTCTATGATCCAGAAGTTCATAAAGTGCGAGTGAGGAGAACGTCATGCCTTGCGAGTTTTTCTTTTTTTGTGAAACATCATGAAGACCCAATATGTAATACGCTACTATTGGCTCCTGGCCTCACTACTAGGAGCAAGAAGCTACTAGGGCTCCTGGCATCGCTACTATATAGGAGCAATGACGCTACTAGGAACAAGGACGAACAAGAACACAGTTTGCCATCAGATTTTTTGCGTCTCAAATGCCACGAGTTCCCAGGGTAAAGATGGGTATGCATCGCAGGAGTCACTGAGCTCAGGGGTGGTGTGGCTCGTCCCATCCCAGGGCCGTGGATGTGATGTGATCGACTCATATATCCCCCCCGATCCAAAAGGACGTTGCGAAAGCACCACCGAACGCACGCCGATCACGCCGATCACGTGGATCACGTCCGCAGGAAGATGGACGACACGGTGCTCCACACCCGAACCACACAAGCGCGGCACACCAACATGAGCCGAACTGGCATGTGTTGTCAGGCTGCAGAGGTGGAAGACCAACCCCTAAACAACCCCAAAGCCTGGCCTTGAAGAAATAAGGGCTCTAAAGCATAGTCCACTGGAGTACATAGTGTCTTCTGTTGCTAAGTTGGATGTTTCCAGAGTGCCACCAGCTACCAAGCAAGAAAGCCCTGGTTTCAACTGTGGAAGAAGCATCTTTTTTTGTTTTTGGACACTCAGAAACCAGGCGACGGCATCAGCCAGGAAAGTCTTGAAAGGTTGTTGAGACTGGACCCATGGCCGGCCTGTTACATGCCCGGCGAGGACACCGCAACACGAGCTTGCCCTCCATATTCCACGGCCCTAGCACCTGCATGAATCCAAAGCACTTCATGGTATGGAATAGCATGGTTAGGACATGTTGGGACAACCTTCTTGGGAGAAGATCCATGGGCCTCCTTGGGATCATGAGCCTCGGACCCTCGACCCCTCAAGCTCCACTCGATGAGGGTCCCAACCTGTCGTGAGCACAGGGTTGTGGCCGGACTCCTCACTTCTAGGGCCGAACCCTTCCCAGACAGAACCTATTGATCCTCTGAGTTGAACCCATTGGATCATCTTCATGCTTCGAGAGACCGGCATTTCTATGACATCGAGAGCGCGGCCCCACATGCGGAGCGCATGGCAGGTCTAGCAGTGACGTTGCAGAGACTGAAGGAGGAGCCGGGAGCGATCCCAGACCCATCCATGGTTTCATAGCACACTCACAGCTCAGGGCCCCAACAAAAACCTGCTTAACTTCCTAATACTGATTGGTAAAGATGTCATAGATGGAGTGCTTGGGGTCATGGCATAACTTGGTGTGGGGGACTACCTTCTTCTTCTTGGCACCTCCGACCCTCTCGTCCCAGACCTCCCCAGTCCGACGACGTGTGACCTCGCCCAGGCCGATCAGACAGACCTTTTGGGTGAGCTGACGGTGGGGGGAGCCCGGGCGCAGCGAGCAGAGCAGAGCACTCCGGAGGTTTTGGGGGGGCCCCGGAAGGTCTCGCTTTTTGGGAGCGAGCGCGTGTGGACGTCCAGCGAAATGGTGCGTCATTTTGGTTGGAGCAAGTGGCGTTAGGTTGTGGTTTCAGAGTAGATGGCACAGACCTCAAGATTTCCTTTAGATGGGGGTCCATAGAAACCACCTCTTGGGGTCTGTGCCATCTACTCTCAATCCACTCACTATACGTGTTTTCCTCTTTTTCTGGGTCAACTGGAGCCACTTGTGATTCGATTCCGCCAGCTGAGCTGAGCCTTAGCCATGAGGCGCGCCAGGCGGCAGAACAGCTCGGGGGCCCTGTGCGACGACGACTTTGGCAGAGTCGTTGGGGTGTTTGGCCAGCCACCTGAGAAGGTGATTGGAGACTATTTATAAGTCAATTACCTTACATTCAGTGGTTACTACATTACATTCAAGGGTTAACGAATTATATGTGTTTATTGGAGACTGTATAGGCGCCAGCTGTGGGGCCCAGTCGTACCGAACCTGAGGGAAAGAGTCTTTCAACCAGAGTTTGGGTGCTTCATACCACCTTCCGGGCCTTGCCGGACACCGTGACACCCCTTAAACATCAACTGTGACGCCGTTCTGTAATTTAACTAATTAAAGCTATAAGGCACAGACACCCCGAACACTCAGACAGCTCGGCTCCTGGTGGACAAGCTCTAAATGATTCCTTAAACCAATCCCCTCATGAGTTCGGGAGACGAGACGATCCGTCTCGAAACCTCGTCGACGAGGGGTCCAGGGGTCCTTTGGGGTGGGTGGGTCCTTTGGGGTCCGGGATTGGTCCAACCCAAACACGACCTGTTTGGGACTGCCATAGCTGAGAAACGGCCAGAGGTGGTGGTGCCAGGGGGGTCAATTGATCGGCAGTCCTATGGCAGTCCGGTCGTGTCTGGACCAATGAGATTTTGCTCGAGCTGAGCGAGTCAGAAAGGAGAGAGGTGAGATGTGTGTGTGTGGCTTTGTGGCTGTACGTTTGAGAGCTGAAGATCTGATGAGGTGAATTGTTCAGACTAAAGTTCATGTTTGTTGGCAGAAAACTAAGACCTGAACAGAGATGTGAAGTGAAGCAGTTGCAGGTTGAAAACGAGGAAAGATGGAAGAACTGGATCTTGTTGGAACTGGAGATCTCCCAAGTGAGCCATGCCATAAACCCACTTGCTTGTAATGAGTAAGGATCTTGTCATAAGACCTTTCCAGCACAGCTCAAGTGGGAAGATGGAGTTTTTTTTATCACGAGTTCCACTTATCTGGATGGCCTGCCATGTGAAGCAAGCATCCAATGATTAGCAGGATCATCCTATACTCTACGTATAGATACGTATAGTATAGTAGGTATGGTATGATGTGGGAAAGAACGAATGGGATGCATGTTACATCATACCGACTTCCGATTGACCAATAAGAACATGGGAACGACCTGGCCATGGTGTTTGTCGCGTAAAGTCCATTCGGGATGACCCGCCTATGAAATTCATGGTGGGCCTGGAAGCCAAACGGGTCATATGTTAATATAACATCCCCAGACACTCCATGGGACTGCCCCCAAAACCACCCCAATGTAGGCATTATATGGCATACATGGAGTGTCTGGGATCCCTCTTTCAACATCAGACAGCATGAGATGACGGTATGACGACATCCCGAGCACGCCCCGACCGTGTGCAGAGAGCACACAGTGTCCACACGGAAAGGAACTGCACGGCACGACCGAGGCCCATCCCATCCCCGAAAGCCACATGACTCGCGGTGGTTTCCCTACAACCACTAATGGGCTCCTATGTGAGGGAAAGTGAGACTATACTAGCATCTACTCGCCACATGATGCCACATGTACCCAGGAAAACGTGGATGACCTTTATGAACCATTTCTGGGGGTATTGCTTTCTCTACTGAGAGAAAGAACTGTTGGAAACAGGTCCTTATGGTCTACTATTTTGGGTTCCATACACAGATGGTCTGGGAGTGTTTTTGGCCCCCCTCTTCAATCCATGATCTGGGCTCAGCCACCCAAAAAAACAGAGTCGTACATACACATGGAAGCTGTATACGACTTCTGGACGGACCCATCGTCACGACTCTTTCGACGAAGTGAAAGTCCTCGCGCGCGCGCGGGGTGCGTTCGACCGTGGTGCATTCGACGTTAAGGCAAGAGAGGCCAGATGAAGACACTCGGTCAGAGGCGGTCAGAGCGGTCCTGGTTTGTGCGCCGAGTTGTGAACTTTGGGGAAGATGAATGAAGATGAAAGATCTGCAGGCAGGTAGGCAGGTTGAGTTTGGAACACTGAAAGCTTTTGATAAATGGTCAGCAAAGGACATCTTGATCGAGATCTATTGATTGATGTGCAGCATATGTTTTTGTTTACCTCTCATGACCTTCATTCATCCCAGACCTCTTAGATTCCAATCTCAGTGAAAAGCAGTTCTTGGCACACTCAAGGCATCTGGCTCTCAAGCGAGCGATAATATGTGGCACACCCAGAGGGCGTTCTCGTGCTCGAGTCGAATCGTTGCTCCGAGATTGGTGTCTCGCTCCCCGACATCGGACCCGACATCGCCGGCGCGGTGCGGCTCGGTGGGGGGATCCATTTCCCAGACACGAGCCGTCTGGGACTGCCAGTTCGGACTGCCGAGAAACGGCCAGGGCTGGTTGATTGAAAAGGGCTCAATTGATCGGCATATATGGCAGTCCCATTAGTCGGGTTTGGGTTTGGTTTCAGATTTGAGGTAAGGTCACGGACGCCCGAAGGGACTCCGTGGAGTGGGGAACAACGAAGACACCCCCACGACCTTCTCCAGCCTATTATGGAGATGATTTGCTTGGCGTCTTTGCCCATCCTCGAACCCGAAAGCGGCTGCGTCTGGCCATGCTCCACGAGTGACACCTCGCCAGTTTGCTGCCACGCGGTGGACACCGCGCTGCCACACGGTGCCCCGCGTTGTCCCGCGTCAGGTCCCTGCTCTCGTTGCATTCGGAGAAGAGCCTTGAAGGCCGGTGGCCGGTGTAGACCGACCGACCGCGGTTCCGCGGCCGGAGCATCGCTCAGTGAGGGGAGACGGTTCGGCGGCATCGTCCCGAACGACAAGGACCGCTATAACGTGCGACGCGTCGGCGGCGCGGAAGATGACATAGCAGCACCTTCCAGGTCTCCGAAATGGGTGGGTTGGGAAGGGCCCTAACAGGTTTCAATCGGTGACCTGTTGGAGGTGCTGTTAGACTCTTGATGACTCTTGATATTTCACCGACATGAAGAGGTGTTTGTTTTTCTCCCAATCTCACGGGGGTGATGATATTTTCCGAGTCTGAAGGTTCATGACATGGGCGAAATCGGTTCATTCTTTCGCATCATCCTCACGGGATCAGCATCGCGGGGTCTCGGATGCCAGTCCCATCGAGGGCTCCAGTCCCATCAAATCCTAAGCGTCGACGGACCGACTGTCGTAGTCCCCTACAGTCGGACACGACCTGTCTGGGACTGCCGAGAAACGGCCAGGGGTGGTTTTGGGGGGATCGGTGTATCATTCAACGTGGAATGGATTCTTGTTCCAAGGAGAAAGTACAGGTCATTCTTTTGATGGAATCTCTGGTAATTCCTTCTCTTTCGCTTCTTAGGCCAGGCTCGCTGCGACGGCCACCCATTCCGGACCCATTTCATGAGACACCGCAGGTCTGGGTGGAAATGAGAAGGACATGCTGAGAAAGGAGGCCCGAGCCCGACGCCTTCTTCGGCCGTTCCGACCGTGGTGACGGATGCACCACGACCTCGGTCAGTCTCTGATTCCACGCGGTGCGGCAGACTTGTCCAGTCGTGCGCTTTTCGGATGCTTTCGGGTTGCACCGAGATGGACTGGAACCGAGATGGACTCAAGTGGTTTAGGACTTAGGATGTGACGATCTACAACGATCAGGATCCTTCCCATGGTTTTTCATGGTCGACCATAGGGAGCATGCAACAAATCATGGCATGCGTTTGGACTTGGCATCGCTGCAGTTGGTGACAGACGAACCCACCCCGCCCCGCCTGAAGAGGCCATGGCCAAGCTGAGACGTGTCCGGAGTGTCGGAGCTCCCGGACACCGGGGATGATTGATCATCAACAATCCATACCAGGAGCATCCTGTCTGGGTGTCCTGTCTGGAGATCCCGGATAGTAGTGGGCTGGGTAGTCCAGCCAGAACACCCAGACAGGATGCTCCTCAAACGTACAGGAATCCATACGTTTGGGCCCCCGTCAGACGGCTAAGACGGGGTGTCTGTTCTTTAGCTCCTTGGATGTGATTCGGTCCATGAACCACCCCTTACTTAGCGGGTCCTGGTACCAGAACGCGACTCTACAGATGGCATCCTGAGATCACAATATCACTATCCCCTGGAGCCAGATCGGCTCGACGAAAGAAAACGGGAGTTATGGTCCACCAAGACCTTCCGCACTGCATCCGCAGGTCAAACCATTGGGCACCCATTGGATGGTTATAGGACTGGTTGGTCCTACCCCAGAGCGGCCATGAGACTGGAATAGTGACATACATTTACCCCATGAAAATGAAGGTAATGTAAGACACATTAAAGACAGGATGGTCTCATTACTACCATTAACTAACCCTCCCCAGACGCTCCAAACACGACGCCAAACAGCCCCGGTCCCTCAAAACCTAGAGAATGCTTCGACCCCAGACCCCTCCGGATTCGGTTCCGACCCCTCCATAGCTTCGACCGGATTCGGTGACGGGTCGCGTCTGGGCTAGATAATGCTGGGCTAGATCTTCGGCTGCACATGTTGGGGGCGTTCCAAAACCGAAACCCCCAAAGTAAAACGCCCAGTCCAAGACCGCCCAGGCACTCCGGCCTCCAGGGCCCGCGAACCGCCCAGTCACCGTTCGGGCTCACGGATCTCTCTGGCCGATCGAGGTCGTGGACACGGAGGCCACGGCCAATTGGGGCCACATCATCGGCAAGGCGGGAGCGGATGGAACGACGGACCATCAGGTGGATATGGAATGAGTCTCGACTCGACTCCACAGTGCCTTCGGTCCAGGACCATTAGGATGTAAGAAAAGGACGACCCTAAGTCAGAGGCAAACGGAAGGGTAGTGCACAGAAAGAGTTTTGCAGAACTTTGTAGAAGGATGTAGAAGGTATTTTTGATGCACTTAACTTTGTATATATAAACCATTTTGGCTGATCCCCTTTCTCCACACACCCTCCATTGAGCCTTCACTCAGTGCTTCCTGGATTGGATTTCCCGGCGGAGCGGATGGTGGCGTGGTGACGGCGCCAGGTGCTTCATCGGAAAGTCTTGGACTTCAATGCTGGAACCTGAGAGAATCCGCGGGACTTCGGGGTTGGTGGACAGAAGGCAGGCGATAAGAACCGATGTATTCTGCAACGAGTGGTTTTGGACCGAATTTTGCCAAACGACAATTCTGAAAGATCATTCACTGTGACTGAAGTTCATTCCTTGGGCATCTTTGGTGTGATTCTGTTCCAAGGGAAGTTCCTGAATGAAACTCATAGCGTCCGATCGTTCCGTTCGTAGTAAAGCCTGGAGCCCCGGATGCGTCCAGCGTCCTTGTTAGATGCTAAACCCACTTCAATTCCGGACGTCCTCGCGCCATCCTCCCCATCCTCGGCGGCGACTTCCGTCTCTGCCAGGCGGTGAAGGACAAGGCGATCCGGAAGCGGCGCTTCGAAGATGCGGGAGTGACTCGGTTGGTCTTCGCGGTTTGGCGCGCCGGAGCAGGGGGGTGCTCCCGCTTGGCAACACCCATACGGTGCCCTAGTGAAGCGTCCAAAAAGACCCCAAAAAGTGTCCCTGTGAGAGGAGGGAATGTGAGGTTCTTTCTTCTTGTTGGAGATGGGAGAGGAGAAATCACGGATTGTTTCTGTGATGAAGACAGGTGGATCCCATTTGGAACTTGTGGCAGGTGGTTTTTGAGGCTGCAAAAAGATGTAAACAGTCTTATAGTAAAACAGCTCTGTGGTTCGGGATTTCGACCATTAAAACAATGGTGGGCTCTGAATCGTACCCCAACACTCCATGGGACTGCCATATATGCCTACATTGACCCCCCAAACCACCCCAATGCAGGTTTTTTTTGTGGCGCGAACCTTTGGCAACACGGACTCCCCGAAGAACCGCCGCTCTGCGCTCTCTCTCTCTCTCTCTCTCAGGAAGCCGTGCCACTCTCGGAGAGTTCAAACCGCTTGGGGCGCCAAGACAAGGGGCCGGTAGGGGCCGAAAGACACGACAGGACCTACTTGGACCACTAGTAGGATAGGACCACTTAGTTTATTAAAACTTTCCTGTGCATGTAATCACTAGCCAAAGCCGAAGTCATTGAAGCCGAATCAAAGGCATGACACATGAGATTTTATGAAGCTCTTTGCCACTGAAGAGAGTTGATGAGAGTTGACGATCTCTGGACTTTGGCACTCCACTGCTCGACCATCTCATGTACGACCCTGACTACACCACATTGACCCTGTCTGAAGACGTTCTCAGGCACCGGTGTGGCGATCTGGCTCAGCCGCTTGCAAGGGCCTGGAGCCTCATGCTCGAGCCATGTCTTTTTCGGACCTGAAAGAAGCATGAACTTAGAGGGTCTTGGTAGGGCTAGCTTGGTGACAGAGACACTTGTGACAGAGACACATGTTGAAGTGCAGGACACTTCCATAAATTCTTGCAATACGAACACCGAAGGGCTTTCGCACCGGGATACCCCTGATCCTCCAGACGGTGAGGCGTTGCAAAGCCATCGCTGCTCAAGCGCTGGATTTGTCCAAACGGCTGGCCCGCACGTGGGGGGGCCGAGCAGGGTGGATGCAAATGTGGGCCGATGTGGGATGCAAATGGATGCAAATCATTCTCACGATCCTCACGAGGTGCTTTTGTTCTTTTTGAGCTATCGTCGCGCAAAGTCTGCCGGATCAAGACTGTAAAGACCAATAGGGACCGCAAGCGCCCTGAAAAAAGATACCACTCTGACTGATGCCAGCTTCCTTATTTCATGTTAGCGTTTGATGCTGCTGATGCCTTGATATATGTTTTGCATTATCAGCATTTTGAGTGCAAACATCTCTTTGCCAGCCCAGCAGAAGACAAAAAGAACCGCAACCTGGCCAAAGCATTCTCAATTCCAAAAGTTAAACAACAAAAAAAAGGAAGAACTCATAAGAATACGGGATTTCGTTGAGAGACATGTTGAGACATGTTGAACCAGACTTCAGACCAGTCCCTCAAAACAACTAAGAAGCTCCAACGGAGGGACTGGTCCCCCAAAACCAACGAAGATCACATGCAAATCGTAAAATAATGGCAGTTGTAGGAATTTATGGTGTTTCTCTTCTCTTATCTTCTCTTTCATGCACTTCCAAAAAACACATCAACATGGGTGGTGCTGCATATAGATTCATTGTTTCTCCCCCAAAACCGGTCACCCAAAACCATCCCAAACCAGCATAAATTAGCGCCACTGTGGCACCCTTCACTCCTCTCAGGGGCAAGGACGTGATGGATCATGAGTGGGACGACCCACAACTCCTGTCCGCACCCCCAGCCTGGCGGGAGCGCCGCGCGATTGGAGGGGTCGATTGGAGGGCGCCCTGAGCGCGCCGTGTTTGGTCGTCCAGTCGGGTTGGGGTCCAATTTGTCGAGAGGGGAGGGGAGGGGAGGCATGGGAGATGGTGGTTTTCAGGGCGGTTGAAGATGGTTTTTTTTGAAAGTGGTTCTGGAGCTCAGTGGCTCAGGACACATCTCTTTTCGAGGGAGTACTTCGACACGCTGATGCTTCTGGCCAATGCCGCCTGCAAGCTCTTGGTTCGAAGCTCAGCACTCGACCGAGGGTCTTCGACAACCTCGTGCTGTCGGTGCCGAGCATCGCAGGGGTCAGACCACAGGGTAGAAGGGGGAGGCTCCTCCTACCCTGAGAGCATCTTGGAGATTACCCAAACAAAGGCGGCGACTGATGTGAAAAGCCCAGAATTGCTGGCTTTCAAGCTAGGAAACCAACGTTTTCACACCCAAAACGATGGGTTTTCCTGTAGATGTTCACCAATTCTGGGAGAAGAAGGAGATTTCACGAGTCGCACCTTTGCGATGTGAGTCGTGCGCGTGCATCTTAGGCCACACAGCCTCCTTTGGTGGCTGCATCGGCGCCATGTTGAAAGCTCAGCAACGTGGGTCGACGCACGTCTCAGGCAAGCTGGACAAGGGGTTCAATCCTGGATCTTATTTTGCGGATCTTTTTTCCAGGAACCAAACCCAGACACGACCCATGGGACTGCCATAGGACTTCCACAGGTCGCGTCTGAGAAAGAGTTTCAAGGAGGTCGATCTTTGTCATGAAGCATTGCTCATCTAGAATTGCGGGGAGATGCGGTGAGCACACAAGCCTCCCGAGCACTGCCATTCACCCAGAAGAATGGACTCTTGGAAGATCAACGGTACCTTTGGCTGAATGGATTTTAGGCTGCTCATTCCCAGACAATCCATGTAAGCAATACTGTGAATATTTGTCTACGTCAGCTAGGGTGATTTTAGATGGTTCTAGATATTTTAAGGGTGTACTCTACTGCAAATGAAATATTCCGAATTCCATAGATGGATTGTTGGGGATTCATCTATAGGTAGACTCTTAGTCTTGATATTCCACCACATCCCACAGATGAACAAGTTTTACAATCCAAATGGCTTTGTTCATCAACCTGCTCCCACCCCCCGCGTTCACCACGCGACTGCTCCCAAACGGCACCGGGGTCCATCCGAGAACGCAGAACGCTTGACCACGCCCGATTCCGTGGAACGGGGCTCCAGAGACGCAGCGCGGCCCTGCCACGGCATGGCCGGAATTGCCTCGCAGTAACACCGTTTCACGGCCGGTGGCACCGTGCCTCGGCGTCGAACGAACATTGCGCGGGTTCGCCGGAACGCACCACTGTGGCGGGTGCGACTGGGGGGGAGGTGGGGTTGGCACGACTGCCTGGAAGAAGATGAAGAAGATCCGGATGTGAAGACTGCAATTAGTAGACCGTATAGACCGTAGAAGTCGATTATTCCACTATATAAGGTTGTAGATCATAGATGTGTGTAGAAAAGTAAATTCCGAACTTCGGGCCACCTAAAGTTAAGACCATGTTCTAAAGAGTCTTGGACTCCCAGTGTAATATATGCTTGGATAGGTACGAACTACCAAAAGTGTTTGCTAGACCTGGCTGGTTTTTGTGGATGAAAAGGCATCAAATTCTGCATCATAGATGGAAGATCCGTGTGATAGAAAGCCCGCGTGTCATGCTTCCGGTGTCATGTGTTCCAAGTCCTGTTCCAAGGGTCAGCGTTTCCCCAGGGGTCGTGTGGTCGTGTGGCCCTTGAGCTGGCTTCAGAGGTCGTGAAGTTCCTTTACTTCAGGGAGTCAGTGAAAAAGATCCGGAACATGTGGGACTTCTATAGGCTTATATGTAGTACAGATTCATGGCCTGGTGTTGCATCCCTTGAAAAGGGGGCGCCCTTTGAAAGGATGTTGCTACGTTTTCTGTATGTCTCATGGTGCAGCTGAGAGAGCAGCCTTCGTCCGCGGAAGCTCGATGCCTCAGGTCCACATGGGCTGGGACAATGACCCTGATTTACCGCCGTATGGCGAGCCATTTGGGCAGCCAACCACGGGTGGTTGGGGAGTGCTTTTTGGGAGTTCGGCTTCATGGGTGGGGCAGGGGTGCTTGAGGAGGTTCGGAGGGCGAGTTGAGGACGAAGAAGAAGAAGAAGAAGAAGAAGAAGAAAAGGACGGTTCTGCACTTCAAAGAGTTGAAAAGATGGAAGAGACCTTCGAAGTAGAGGCTTTTTGCACTGTGTTTAAAATGTCCTTGGCCCTTGGATGTCTGTTCAAGACCTCCACGCCCCGACACAGCCAAGGTCAGCGGAATTTGGAGGTAGTGCAAGCAGCTACCAAGTGCAGGAAGTCCAAAGGTCATCCGAAGTGAGCCCGCGCAGACCTCAGACTGCCGCGACCCCGGACGGGCCCCGCTTCTTCCGCGGAAACCGCTGTTGCAGCGGTCGCGTCGTACCGGACCAGCTGGGCCCCGAAGATCCGGACCCCAAAACCGATCCTCAGACACCCATGGGACTGCCAGTTCGGACTGCCGATCAAGCCAGACCCCCCTCAACCACCCCTGAAATCGGCCGTTTCTCGGGTCCACAGGTCCCGGGCTCGCGGTCCAAAAGCGAAGGTTGGTTGAGTCATATGGAGGGGATGATCCATGGAGAATATGCCCCCCTGGTCGTGAAGTATTTGTAGGTATCATGCCCTAATCATTTCCTACCAGTCAATGACCTCATTTTGCTGGAGTTGGTCATGCGAAAACACTACTTAAAAGAACAGCTTTGACTGGGTCAGACTAGACTTCTTAGGGATTTATGACTTACAAAAAATTGTATACTGACCTGGCAACGACCGCCCCCTACTGTAGCCGCTAATCGGATGCTATACCCTAGACTTCCAAGACCATTATAAAAATGGTTGACCTTGTTTTTTGAAATGAAAAATCCTTAGTTGATTCGGTAAAGCTTATTAAAATAATGGTTGTTGGAAGCCTAGGGTATATATAGGCTATAGGCGTGTCGGAATTCACCTTCGCCGGCATGCCTTGAGGACGGACCTGGTGGAGGAGGAGAGCCATGAATCTGAAGAGAGACTAGAGGATGCTGACGCTCGGCCGGACCACCGGACCGACCGGGACCCACGATCGGCTTCTCTGGAGAAAGGGAGTTGACTCGTTGGCGACCCGATGAGCTGCAGAACGAGTGACCGCGAACGATGCAGAACGACAGGGTTGATCCAAGAGGACCCGGAGGTTTTTCAGGACCCATAGGTTCGACGACCTATCCCTATACGTACATGGACTATCCCCAGGTGATGGACCCGAAATTGTCAGGTCACACAAATTGATGGTGTGCAAAATCCTCTATTGGTTATAGAGACATCTGAGTTCGGTTCGATGAACACGATGAACTCGGCGAAGGTAGTTAGACGTTGTATTCACATGAGCTGGCAAGACGTCACAAGACGTCATACGACGTCGACGGCACATGACGGCACGTTGGTTGGACCGGCTATGAACTGGCTATGAACCGGTTCTCTTGATCAGGCTGTGTGGGATGACGCTTTTGAATCAATGCTGGGCTACAACGAAACAGCTCGGTTCGTTTGTTTCGTAGCACCGAGCTGTCACCGAGCTGTACTCCGTGCAGGCTGCGTCACACCCTCACCGAGCGGGTAGTCGATGTCGCTGGATGTCGCTGGTGCGTCAGGAAGAGGAGCCCATCTCAGCCTGCTGCTGTAGTCAATGCTCTGCGGCGAGGCGCGCAAGTGGAGATGAGAGGTGGACGGCGAAATATGTGTCATCAGTGAAAAGAAGACCAGAGATCCATGTCTCGTCCATGTCTAAATTGTCCTTTTTGTTAAATAAGCAGGTGTTTGCAGCTTGAGGGCCCCCAACAAGTCTATAAAAGAGATGGAATGGATGTGATACAATGTGTTTTTGACAGCAGATGTTCTTTCATGTTGTCCAGGTGGCATGAACGCCGGCAGAACAAGAGAAATCATGGGGGATTGGAAGTTGGAAAACCTCAGAACATCAAAAATACAGCAAGGTCCACAAGAATTATAAGAGCTTATGGGACCTCACTAAAAAAAGGAGACACCGAACTGGAACGAACCAGTGAATTCATTGAACATCATGGTGAGATGTCGCACCATCCAACCCCAGCGGTGTGCGCTAGTCGCCGGGCTCGCTCGCTAGTCGCCGGGCTCGCTCGTCGCTCAGCGGCAGAGGCCTCTGCTGTGCGCTTGCACCGGCTCCTTTCTCTTGCTGTTGATCGTGATAATTGGTCTTGCTACTCTTCCCTTCAGGACACAGACCGGCAGAAGGAAAGTGTAGGAAAGTCGGTGCTTTATCCAAAGACCCCCCCTTAAATAGAAACTTTCCCAGACCATCCATGGAATAGTTGTACAGATATGTACAGATCCATTCCATTTATGCCTCATATAAGTGACTATTCCATAACATTTAACATCGTTTAACGTAAAAGTGTCGGACACCCCCGCGTTCCACGACCGACCGGAGAGTCGCTACCATGTGGCTTTGCCAGGGATCGGTCCAAAGGGGCGGTGGGATCGGTCACAGAGTCCAAGCAGCAAACTGGCAGACGTGATTGTGGAGATGCAGCTTTGTTCAGTTCCTCTCGTGATCTCCAACGATTCATGGATTGTTGGATGAAAAACCACAATCTCATATTCATGTCATTCATGTCTCATATTTGTATAGTATATATATGCCTGGAGTCTCAAAGTACCACAAAAAATAGGTATGGTCCAAGTCCCTGTCTTTGTAGGGTCATGTCCCATGTTCTAAGGTACTTTGGAGGGTCAAGGACAGTCAGTAAACAAAAATTGAAACTATTTTTGGACAAGGCCTTTTCTGAACAAAAATTGTAACTATTTTTGGATAAGGCCTTTTCTGAACATGATCATCATCCGCTGTTACAGGGAATAGGATATACCGTACCCAACAATCAATGTGTTACATAATATATGTCAATGTGATTCTGCTTCTCTTGATTGACTCTCCCTCCAAATTGCCCCAGACACTTCATGGGACTGCCATATATGCCGCCCCATTGGCTCCCCTGGCACCACCACCCCTGGCCGTTTCTCAGCAGTCCCATGGCAGTCCCGTGGAGTCTATGGGTTGTGCAGGATCGAAACCAACTTCGAGACCTTCCTCATCAGCGACGTGCAATCCTCGCTGCATCGCGCTGCGTTCCACAGCGCCACCGCCTCACGCAGCTCAGGCGCGCGCGGTTCCCGCGCGGTTCTCGGTGATCGGTCGGTCCTGGGCATTGCGCGAAGAGCTGGGGCGGGATGCAAAGACGTGATGCTCGTCTGAATGTGGCCCCCCCCGGGTCGTGAGGTCGAGAATGAAAGAGGATGTTCCCTATAGGGATGTACGGATCCACCCTCCTAATTCTCGGTACGGTGAGACCCGACAGGCGCCAGCCGTTTGAAGACATTCCAAAAAGGGAGTCGAAACACATCACCTCTGACGGAGGTTATTCTTGAGCGCTATTGCAGATTCCCTAGACCTCCAGTCGTACCTTCTGAGAAGGTG